CAAACTTTCACTTTACAACGCGCTTTGCGAATCATCATCAATTACGGTCTAAGAGCTGGGAGAACTTATCAACGTATCTCAGCCGAATAATAACCTCAAATGCGAATCCTCAAACAGTTGTCTCGAGAAATGTGCTCGACTCATACAAAAATGAAGAAAAAGGAGTTTTCAAACACTGTAAAATACTCCCGTATCAGAAAAATTAATAAATTCTTCTGTCGAGCACTTTTTAGAGATGACTTAAAAAACGGGGTAGAGCATGACGTACGAGAGCCGAGCGGTAACGCAAGTCCGGCTCTGTACATCAAGAGCAAACAACGTATACGGCGAGAGAACGTTGAGGGTATTTGCTACCCGCGGCTAATAAATGGTCTACCAAATCACATATTAGATTGCCTAACGCCAACCAATATAAACAGCAAACTAAAAACTACTTTTATATCATTTGTCGCGCTCCTAAACAAGATTGTTATGGTTACATGAATATAAACCACAGCGGTTTGCTAATGTAACTTGTTATGATTGTATTATATTTTTTGTAAAATAAAAAATTTAAAAAAAAAAAAAAAGGTAACAAACATACAATTTAATAATTTTCATACCACCAAAAATACTTATATGGTGTTTATGTGACCAGTGTGCAAGCACTTTGCATTCAATAAATACCTGTAATAAATGCTTGATTTGTAATTCATAACATAATTAACAATTCAAATAGCTTTGGGATGTTACTGTAATATTATGATTAGAGGTTGGTACTTCATATTAATGAGTTCAATTATTGCGGTATTTTTTTATCACTCCATATAACATGATAGTAAGGTGCAATATACTATGTTTCCTAAAAGTAATAAAAAATAACTATAAAAATAAGTTGTATGTTGCATTACAATAATAATTACACTACGATTATTTTTATTAAATTTTGTACATTAATATAGTAATTTAAATACTTAAAAATCTTGAATGTTAATAAGAGAAAGCTTTATGATCAGTAACGTAAAAAATAACTGCAGCTTTGTATTGTCTGGTAATAAAATGCAAAAGCAAAGTATTTATACGAATGTAGAATACAAATACATTAGTCCTAGCCTCAAGTGGAATATTAAAAAAATACAGCGATTATTCTTACCTTGCACACATTTCTCAGATTTAGGAGTTGAAGTCATTATTCTTTATTAGTCAATTCACTACCATATTAATATATTAAATTGGCTTTTACACTTGAAATAAAACTTTAAACAGTCTTTATTAAATTACGAATCGACCGGCAGCCATATTTTAAAACAATATACCTATTTTTAATGTTGATTGTCAAATGTCAATGTCATCTATCAAACAATTTTTCGCCGTAGATAAAAATTAGAAATAGTAACGTAAATTTTTGTAAAGTAATGAAATGCATAAAAATAGTATATATTTTCATTACGAGTGCGGAAAGCCTGTCATTGCAAACTGCAAAGGCGCAGCCGAACTCCGAAGGTGATGGTTGACAGTCGGAACAAGTTGCAATGACGGTTCCGCACGTGTACTGAACTATTTTCAATACAGTTGCTCAAAAAGTGGAGTATTGCAGGGACGTATAGCGTTCGGCATGTGGGCTATTACATACTCGAGCTTTTTCTTCACCTTTGCCGAACTTGTGCGTTCTCTTTCCCAACTGTCAAAACAATGTCAATTAAAAATAAAAAACCAACCACGAAGTTTTTACTAAAAAAAAATCATAGAAGTTTTGATGATTCATGCAAAATATATTATTATTTTTTAAGTATTATTTTTATTTTCAAGTATTATTTACGTTTTATTTTATTGCTATAGCCGCTAGTCCACCCTATCAAATATTTCTAAAAGAAGCTACTAATTTGTTTCAATATCATATTTAATGATTTGATGCAATGAGTTAGGTTAGGTTTCATTTTTAGTTTAGAAGATTAGCTAATTCTATCGTTGAGTATAACTCATATATCTATAGAATTTCAAAGCGTAAAAATGAAGAATAAATATATATTTTATTTGAATATGGCTTTGGCACTCGTTAGGCCCTTTCTCCACTGCTCCGGTCCGGCGTCGGATACCGGAATGAGTCATGAGAAAAATATCGGAAGGCCGGACTGCGCTTCTCCACTATATCCGATCCGATAATAATCGATACTTGTATATTTATCATGCAACACTTATATTAACTAAAACCCATATACCTACCTTACTTTATTAATAAAACGTTCTAAATTCTGAATATTTTATTGCCCTGGCAAGTTTATTACTTTTTTTGTATTGTCTATCTTGAAATATTATAAATCTACTAAATAAATAATTCACTAATACTATGGTATAAAAATAGAAATAAATAGCAACATAATTTGGTTTGGTCCAGGTTATCCAGATTCTTTCAAATTAAAGAAACTTTAAATAAACCAGTGAATAATAATTTATAACCTCTTGGATATACTTGGACCGATAAAACACCGCGTTCCGATCTAGCAAGTTACCGGAACAATGGAGAGCCTTAAGGCCGTTTCTCCACTGCTCCGGTCCGGCAAACGTTAATTACCGATCCGATTTAGAACTCACAACAGTGCTTACGTACCTACTTCTCCACTACTCCGGCATCCGGTTTTTAACGATCCCATAATTTGCTAGATCGGAACGCGGTGTTTTATCGGTCCGAAGTGATCAACAGTAATGCCCTTGGGTGTTTTCCCCCCAAATTTAGGGGAAAAAAAATGTCCAAGGGTTTTTTCAGGGGGTACATTTGTTTAGGGGGGATTTTGATTCTATACAATTTATATTAAACTTCGAACGCAATCAACAAACTAAACCAAATATAAACTCCAAGCCTGGCTACAGCTTTAATATCATAAGCTTATAATAATATCGAAAAACAATAATTTAATCCGAACGAATAATGGCTAAATAATGTATGAAAATAAAATGACGAAAAAGCAAAACATTGTCTGCCAAGAAACGTTAAGAAAAACTGAATGCGAAGAAAAAAAAGATAAAAAATAAGAATCGTTTCATCTCATTGTTATTATCATTAATATTATTCGGTTATTGATTAACATATTATATAAATATGTAATATATACTCACATAAATACATCAGCTATTTTTTACTACTTCAACGTATTTTAAATTCATATTTGAATTTTTACTGATCGATTATTGTCGGATAAAGTGGAGAAGCACAATCCGGCCTTCCGATATTTTCTCATGACTGATTCCGGTATCCGACGCCGGACGGGAGCAGTGGAGAAAGGGCCTAATAATATTCATTTATGTTGTAGTATCTTTGGAAGACAGATCAAGTTTGGTTTATATTTGAGGTCTTAGGAAAAGGTTGAATTAGACCAGATACAATTGACAGTGTAAAAACGATGATTTAGATTTATAGGGTAAACGATATTAATTACAAAGACATATTTTTATCCAGGCCTGCCTTCAAATTCTCTCAACGGAATAAATTTTAAACACCATAAATTTAGTGTTAGTGAAACAGGTTGGTTCTCGTTTTTTTGGAAGCATTTAAAAAACTTTTAAATAAAATGCTCTTAAACCCGATGTCGGGATGTGACAACTTCATCGCCTACTCATGAAAATATAACCTGTAACAGAGGTTATTTCACCAGTCAAACCCCCTTCCTTGTGGGAGTCCTAAGCTGTGGCTTTCAGCCTTCAGCAAAATGGGCATGTACGACCGGGTTAGTACCACTGTCTCACAGACAACCGGCGTGAAGTGATGCAATAGGTTCATGTTATTGTACTCGCGTTTCATGCTGTGAGTGAGACGTGCGTCGTACGTTATGCGTAAGTGTACGTCAGAAAGGATGTCTGTTCTCATCACCTCGGGATGCTTGAAGGAACGGACCTATCTAACCTCTGGCTGCACGTAGATTGTGATGACTATCCGCGATTTTATGCGTGCATTGCCACTTTGGGACCTACATCACATGTATTGCGACTATACATCCCATAGTAGCAATGCCGAAACTGACCGACTCCTTGAGCACATCCAAATGGCTACAGATTCCTTGCTGGAATAAGTCCGGTCCGCCGAAATCTTGATACTGTGCGACTTTAACGCCTACCATGCTGACTTGCTTGGTTTTGATACTACCGATCACGTGGGTAGGTCTTTACATGAGTTTGCCTTGGCATTTGACCTGACACAAATGGTTCCCGCAATTACGCGAATACCAGATGTGCATGGTCATAAACAATTTTTGTTGGATCTTCTGTTGACCTCACATCCAAAGAACTACTAAGTCTCCGTCGACCCTACTCTGGGTTCATCGGATCTTGGCGTAGAATAGGGGTGGTGGAGGTGGTACTACACGCCTTCCATGGCCTCGCTTTTGGCACTATAGGTCAGCTAAATGGGACGGGATGCAGTCTTTCTTTGCGTCATACTGCACTACCGTGCTCTAGATTCCATCGCTGACTATGTCGCCGAAGTGGTTCTGCGGGGCATGGAACTCTTTATTCCATTTCCGGCGGTGTGTACATATAAACTGTGTGTACATATAAATTCAACCTCCAGGTCCTTCAAACGGGAAATCGCTAGACAAAGTTCTGACCTTGTGCCCTAGCACATGGCCAGATTTGGCGTCATTGGCTAAAGGCGACTCTTACTTTCACATGGTTTCTATGGTATAGTAATCCTAAAACCATTGTTTACCAAGTATATAGTATATAGAGCACCAATATATAGTAAGAAATCTATGGTAATTTCGACATCAACAATAGACTACAGTGAAATTTCTTTTTTGACATTAGACTTTTGAATTTGACAACAGTGAACAGTAGTGGAAATTGTAATTTGTAAATTGCGTTTTCTAGAAATTTGTTTTACTATTCGTACTATTTTAAGTTTGTTTATTAGATATGTGAAAGTTCTTGGTGATTAATAGGCATTATGTTAATTTATTAGCTTAGGCTTGTGTTTAAACTATTGAAGCTCGCATTGGTTTGTTTGTAAACGCCACCTAGACGAAGAAATCATGGCGGATCCACTGAGTTTACTTCGACAATTTAATGTAAATAAAAAGGAAATTATAGAGAGGGATAATCAGATAATATTTGGCGAGTTTTCCTGGCCAAAAAATGTTAAGACAAATTACTTCATGTGGGGGTAAGTATTTTTAATTTACTTCTGACAAAACTAACCTATTACCTAACAGTCTCATCAACATCAGTATTTTTTTTAGATCTGGCAAAGAAGGCGGGGAAAAAGAATACTACACTCTAGAATGCTTGCTTTTCATCTTAAAGAATATTACATTAACCCATCCTATTTATATTAAAAAAGCAGCTGTAAGTAGAAATAAAACATTGTAAAATTGAAAGTTACTTCTCCAATTCTGACATTGAATTATATTTGCAGGCTGCTAATATACCACCAGTATGTCGTCCTGATCGTAAAGAACTACTTGCTTACTTGAAAGGAGAGACTGCAACTTGTTCATCTATAGATAAGAGTGCACCATTAGAAATCCCAACACAGGTATTTTTTTAAATCGGACAACTTACTTAGTAAAATACAAATTACTTACAATTTGCTTATGTAAATTAGGTAAAAAGAACGCATGAGCATGGTGAATCAGCAGCAAAAAAGCCTCGCATTGAGGAACTTCATGTGCAAAAAGTGCGGGAACAGCTTGCAGCACGTCTTGATGCACCTAAAGAAGCTTCTGTCACAGTTGATAACATCAAGTATGTATTACGTTTAGTATTCACATCTCAACATTTTGTTGACAAGTGTTACAAAATTTAATTTTTATTTAGATCTCTATCAGAAGCTATGTCAGTTGAGAAGATTGCAGCAATCAAAGCTAAGAGATTGGCTAAAAAGAGAACAACAATCAAAAGTAACGACTATACTGATTCCCTTGGTGTTGTGGGTTCAGACCTAAGAGCCATATTGGACTATGATGTAGATCTCACTAAAGATATAATAAGTCGGGAAAGACAGTGGAGAACAAGGACAACAGTATTACAGAGTAACGGAAAAGTAAGAATGAATTCCTCTATATTATGTAAAGTTTTTGTTGTTTTATATAATAAATTTTTAAATACTGAATATAGTTCTTTACGAGTTTGAAAAGATAACTATAATACTAGTCTTTAGTTATTTAGCTTTTATTAAATAAAATCTATTCAACCATTCATGCATTATTCATATCAATAAAAGACTTGAAATGTATGTATGTTTTTACTGAAGAGAACATGTTTTTAGATATTCTTAAAAAGCATCAATGCTCTTCTTGGAAGTATAAAGGCTCGGGAGGAGGGCAGATCAGGTGTTCCAAGACCTCAGCCTGTGATAATGCCACAGCCTACTACCTTACCAGCTCAGCAAACACAATATAACAGATATGATCAGGAAAGATTTATTAGACAGAAAGAAGGTAATTTATTAGCTATGAATTTAAGTACCAAATTTTTTGTAATGAGATTGTTGTATGTAATCGCTGAGTAGGACAAAAGGTTCATTCACAAAATACTAAGTTTCATTTAGTAAAATATCCATACTTGTAAAATCTAATATATGATATCACAAAGGCCTGTGTAAGCTAATGTGTCTTTTCTTATCTTTACCTTTTTAATTGTAAATATCAGTCTGGTCTATCGGAACTTCAACAACTTTCCAATAATTTTGGTTTTAAAAATGTGTAATTTTCAGAAACTGAGGGTTTCAAAATTGATACTATGGGAACATATCATGGTATGACATTGAAGTCAGTGACAGAAGGGCCTAGTGTACCTGTGGCAGCCCGCGCCCCTCCCACACCAAATCACCCCAGACAAATGCCACGTAAGTATCCACCTTGCTTTGTATTAGTATCTATTTTAATATGAGGTAATGTAAGCTGGTTTTGCCTTTGTTTAAACTTTTTTTTTTAAAGTGGGCTTCTATATTATTTTTATCTAAGTAAAACATAAATCATCCTCACCACTTGAGTAAACTTGGCTATGGACTTTCCATTATTCAATTTATATACTAATCTAGAATACATTCTTTATAATTACAAGTCAGTTCAATTAAAAATAGAAGTCATTGGCTTGCATCGTGTCGGAACGTGCTCTTAAAAAAAGATAAAATTGAAGTTTGCGCGGTAATTAAATGACTGCTTTTAAAAATTTAAGTATGGAACTGGTAAATCAAGACTTGAGAGCAGCATTAGGGGTTCATGCTCCTCGATATTCGGTGGTTGCGCGTTGATGTGCTGAGTTCAAGCGTGAAAGAACTTCCATTAACAACTACCGCCGCTAAAGGGGCATCTCAGGGTCAATCAATTTAAAGATCTTTAAGTTAAATAAAATTAACGTAGTAGTCGGCGCGGTACACGATTTTTCAAGGGATCAAGAAGAAGATTAAGAATTTTAGCTTAAATAAAAGATAATCAATTTTCATTGAACACCCCTTAGTATCTTGTACTATAACTGTTTTGAGTAAAAATATAATGCCCAAAAGACTGGTTTCTTCTTTCTATTTAACTGTTTACAGTGTAATCTCTTTATAACGAATACCAAGGGACCGAGCATTTTTATTCTTTATAGGGAATGAGATAAAGAGTTTATACACTGTAATTAACTATTTGCAGAAATGTTTTTGTACATGTTCCATTATTATAGAATTTCGGTAAGTATTAAGTATTTATAACAATATTAAACGTAATTGCAGAAAACGGCCCCGTAACAAGCACGCCTGGTCGCAAAGAATTGCTTCCAGTAGCGGCTGCGCGTGCGCCGATTGGTGGAGGCAAGAGACCTTCACGGACACCCATCATCATCATACCAGCCGCTGCCACCGCTCTCATATCTATGTTTAATGTTAAGGATATGCTGCAAGATCTTAAGTAGGTATTTTGATTAATTTGTCGACAAGTTTTAGTAGTATTTGGAACTGTTCAAATCTAAACTGACCATGTTCATAGAATACAAAGCATTATGATATTTTAATGCTTTAAGGATCAAATCAGAAAAAAAATAAGAAACAAATCCAGAAATGCAGTGTAATTATTCAAAAAAATAAGCAAAATTTAGGAACACTGTTGTAAAAAAAGGATTTGTATTTGGAATATGTTGTTAATAAATATTTCAATCAAGTTGGATCACAAACATTCTATGAATACTTTACTGGATAACAAAAAACAATGCGTGCGCGGACCATGTTTTTGAATTTATTATTCGCTTTCCGAACACGTTATAGTCTACAGACCATACCGCCCATAAGTAAAAAAGATATCTTGTAGCGGGTTTTTTTTGTAAAATGCATTCGCTAAACTTTTACTGAGCCTTAATCATTAACGGACCAAATTTAAAAAAATCTGTATCTGTTTTTTCAATTTCAGAAGATAATAGTTGGAAATGATGTCCCTCAATTGTGCCTCAAGAATTAAAATTAAATGAATAAACGTAAAACCACTATTTGTTTTTAGATTCGTACCAGTGGAGCAAAAGAAAGCGGAAGGCGCTTCACGAGAAAATGAAGTACTTTTGCAAAGACGGAAGGGTCCCACCGGAGATAATATTCCTAACAATGCGACTACAATTACAGTATGTATATATTTTATGTATTGTGTGTGTTCTATTATACAAGGGGTATTCAATAAATAATGCTATATATTCTCCCTGGAAAAAAGTACAGTCAGCCATAGACATTAGATAAAATAGTAAAAAAAGCTAACATTTTTTTTTTAAACAGACGTCGTTTGTTTGCGTCGTGTTAAGAAGATATAGAAAGTGTATAAATCTTATAGGTGTCTACGTCGATGGATAGAATATTGCGTTACAGATTATTACTTTTTATTGAACACTAGTAGACTAGTCAATCAATCAATCAAAATCAAAATACGTTTATTCGATTTACATGCATCTTAGGGCATGCTTATGAATGAACAATATTGATTTCTTGGTTTATTATTGATCATATTTCCAGGTACCATATCGCGTAGTGGATAACCCAAGCAGACTATCAGCGGCCGAATGGGACCGTGTTGTTGGAGTATTCGTTCAAGGACCAGCATGGCAATTCAAGGGATGGCCGTGGGACGGAAATCCCGTTCAAATTTTCGCTAATAGTAAGTTTTTATAACTTAAAGCTTCCATGTATAAAGGAATCTTTATTTTCACAGTGATAATTTAAATATTTAATATAGGTAGCGTATTAAAAATCGCCTACAACTCATAAATATTTCATCATAGTCGTAGAATAGTGACGGATCTGACAAATAGTAAACTATACAGGGCAGCCATTTCAAAATAATTTAATCATGTTAGTTTTTGTCATAACTATTTTAATTCATATTCTGTTATTATGAAAATTGGCATACAAGCAAACAAAAGGGTTTGTTTTGAAACAAAATAAAATAATAATATTAAATTACACAGTTTTCAAGAAAAATCACATGTTTCTATCAAATCCGTCACATTAGACTGATTAATTTGAAATTTAAAACACATGGATTTTTTTAATGTAGCCATAATATTTAGTCAATGTAGTATCAAAATATGATAAAAAGTGAAATTTGGATTTTTTTCAAATCGGTCATTGTTCTACGATCATGATGATTTATTCTTCAAACTACAGATTTATATTATCAGAATACGAAATTTAACCTAAACAATTTAAAATTATCATAAACGCACTATAAGCATAAACTTTATAACGTCTTTATTTGCAAAGTGACACGAGAGATTAGGATGTTATAAAGATATTTTATTTTTAGTGTTTAAAACATGCTTATTGGACATATACTCGTGGTGCGTTCCGCTCCCCGAAACGAAAGACAAAACGAGTACGTTCGATTCTGATTGGCCAACAAATTATGTCCGATTGACCAATCACGATCGAATGCAATGTTACGCCATGTCTATCGTTTCTCTTTTCAGTCTATAGCTATACGTTTTTAATTTCAGTATGCGCCTTTCACCTGAAGTATGATGAAATGAAATTAGACAGTAATGTTGCCCGGTGGGCGGTGACAGTGCTTAATCTCAGCCGCACCAAGAGGCATCTTGACCGAGCCGTACTACTTGGCTTCTGGGAAACACTTGACAAGTATGTATTATTACTCATTTATATCTGTGGCGTCACTGACATGTACATCTTGGTAGAATAAGTATTTCCTTTTACTTGAAACTGGCATAAAGTTAAAACTATTGCCATAATATTAAAACAAAATATTTCCCCTTAATTTTTCTTAAAGTCTATGTTAGTATTTCTATCTATTCTCTGTTGTTTATTTTTGATTCATATTAATAAATTAAAATCGGACTTCGGATTTAACATCTATATTAAGTTGTTTGATATTAATATATAATATCTTTTGGTACTTTAATTAACCATTTATAAATTAACCACCACAAGTGAAACTAGAATTAAAATTATTTTTAAACTACCCAAGATGTGCACAACTCATTTATGATTGCACATCACTTCCATAAAATTCTCTCTTTCTCTCTCTCTCTTTCTAATAAATGGACTCTCATCAGTTTATTAAGGTTCAACAGTTTTTACTTGTACCGCCTAGTAGCGAAGTAGTAGTCTTACATCAGTAGTTTAGGCTCATGAATCAGTCTATAAGGTATCATCAGTGACTTATTAAAATAAATTTTATCGAATTTTACATATCAAACTAGGACATTGTAAAGAAAGTAACTCGATATCCCGAGTAATAATTAATATGTAAAAGAAATGACAATATACATATATACATTTTAGTCCGGTCAATCTAGACCAAAAAATTAGAGTGAAGGTACATAAAGTCCCAACAAGCTGAAAATCAGTAAAATTGTTCAAAATATAATTATAAATAATATTTAAAAGTTCCCTATCATTCCCTTGTATGGAAATTTTTTTATTCAATGTCAAAGGTATAAAAATGTTATGTACCTTCGAATGTCTAAATTGACCGGACTATTTACACTTTTATTATACTAGTGGACCCGACGTACGTTGTCCTCTACACTCGTCCTTATATACGAAAACTTAAAAAAAATAATATCTAAACCATATTCGAACATACTTCGAAAACCCAAAAAAATCGTCGAAATCGATCCAGCCCTTTTATTACACACGTTCAGACGATTTATAAATATAAAATGTTTCATTTATACTAATATTATGTATTTAATTAATTATTTGTTCCAGGCACATGATGAAAAATAAACCGCACCTTAGGTTCTAATTTTATTAGTGTTATTTCTATAGAAAATATATCTTGTGAGTTTGGCCACCTTATACCAAGCGAATCTAAGTCAATTCATACCATTTAATAAACACAGACATTCATTCATATAAGTTAAATTTCGTGTTGACTGAAAGTTTATAATATACCCCTATCTTATAGTCTAATTCATTAGGTAAAGTACTATTCGTCTCGTTCTCTCAAATTGTGTTTACACTAAGGTGAAAAGAGACAGAATATCTCCAATATGTAACAGTTATATGTATCAAGAATGGTTTATTATCTCATGTAAAACCTAGGATTTCATATGTAAGCAATGACGATTTATAAATTGTTTATAAAGCTAAGAAAATGCTAGGATTAGAACAGTGTAACAAGACCAAACTATGAGTGTAGATAATTGTAGTTTCTACCCAAAGTGTAAGTGTAAAATAATAAAATATATTTTATGTATGACAGTGCTATACTAATAAATGAATAAAGACGCGGCAAAAGGAAACAATCTCTGGGTTTTTATACCTACCATATAGGTTACCAAAACCATAACTATTATTAGAACATTATAATGATTACGGCGTAAGTGGAATCTGGCTGTGCATGTAAAATAAATCGTATTTATAAATCTTGTTTGTTTTGCGTCGTTTTCATTTACGTCGTGAACACATCAAATCTTAATTTAGAATGTTTTAAACAGTGACAAAAAGCCTATACTTGGTTCGCTATATATACATGGGACTTAAATATATTCCGAAAGGCGCCACCTTATCAATACAATTTTATTGAAACAGATGTTTAAATATAGGGACTAGATCATATTTTATCATTTTTATCATAGAGACAGATGCGGATATAGCAGTCGCGTCAGATCACAATGAACTTTAAAAAAATCTGAATAAATCCGAATAGAATCTTTAGTATAAGGTGCAAAGGCTGGTTTGTCGCCGCCAAGCCTTTTTTATGATTTAGTTTAACTTTAATGACTTTAATAACAGAAATGACCCACCTCTGGTTCCACTCTTGCCTAAAGATTAGATACATGCTACTGGATTACTGTTTAATCCAAGGTTTTATGACAATATCAATACGCGCGTGGAAATGTCATTAACTCTTTAACGTTACAGTTTCTTTAAATATCGCTATGGCGTTAGCAGGCCGAGCTGTCATAAAATAATTTATCTGAGGTCCTAAATCACCTAAAACGCTAATTAAATAAAAATAAAACATCTTAGTGCTTCAAGCTTCCTTTTCCCATTATCTATAATACACATTATAAGAAAAATAAATAATCGCAAATCAGTATTAGACAATTAGTCATACGCGTACTCAGGCTAACACGCAAAATTAAATAACGCAAATTTAAGTATTGTCTAGTGTAATTATAAAGTGTTTCTGAAATGACAAGGGGATTTGGTTAAAGTCACTTAACGTCAAGATGTTACAAACCATTACACCCCGCAATTGGTGAAACAATTATTAATATTAATTATAGGAAAATCGTTTCAACCACATACATTTACCACGTCGAAAGATTATATTGTAATTCTGTGAATTAGCAAATGAAAAAGCTTCTTTTTAACCAAGTTTTATCTTCTGTTTGTGCAATTACACTAATGATGATATTCATAAAAAAAAAAGTGTGTGTGTGTGTCAGCTACGACGCACGATTGGAGTTTACTCCTTACGAACGATAAAATGGCGATAATGTTCTGTGGCTGTCGACCATATTTTCATACTAAAGGTGGTAAGAATATGTTTTTATAATATAAATGTTTGTAGTAGTAATAAAACGTACCTACATCATCTATGTCCAAATAGGATTTTCTTTCTGTGACCAAAGTTATATTTATAGTAAGAGAAGAATAAGAATGAACAATCTTTTTAGTTTTAATTTCACTGACCATTACTATTGACAAAACTCTATGGCACGCTAGACAATCTACATTTATTTTTTACACCTGTCAACACTGACAATGTTGTAACGTGGCTGTCAAAACGTGAATTCAAAATAGAAAAGTCTGTGTAATGTATTCCATCTCATTCTTTTACACGTTCAATCCTACAGATATATATGTTTGTCACTTTCTACATAACGCCTCAACTTTTCGTGTTACACTTGATTTTACTCCTCATAAAATTTCCGTACCGGGCCTTATAACTCAAATCGTTTCGAAGAGTAAACTCTATATGTTTGTCTCTTTCTACATAATGCCTCAACTTTTCGTGTTACACTTGATTTTACTCCTCATAAAATTTCCGTACCGGGCCTTATAACTCAAATCGTATCTTAAGGAGTAAACTCTATATGTTTGTCTCTTTCTACATAACGCCTTAACTTTTCGTGTTACACTTGATTTTACTCCTCATAAAATTTCCGTACCGGGCCTTATAACTCAAATCGTTTCTTAAGGAGGAGTAAACTCTATATGTTTGTCTCTTTCTACATAACGCCTCAACTTTTCGTGTTACACTTGATTTTACTCCTCATAAAATTTCCGTACCGGGCCTTATAACTCAAATCGTTTCTTAAGGAGTAAACTCCAAAAATATGTACTTTAAGATTTACTTAGAAGTTTAAATTACTTTGAGAGTGATCGCACACTGAAACGTTTGTCTATTAAAAAAATCCGCAAAATATTGTAAGTTTAGTTTTGTGTTCCTAACGAAGATATTTTTTCTTAGCTCTGTATTTCAAATAGTCATAGGTTTTTTTCTTGATTCATAATAAACGTCAAATTAACTAATATAGGTATGTAATTTGTCGTCCAATATAATTGACTTGTATAAGTAGTTGGCGGTATGCCGAGTTTCGTTAGTTAATTTGCGTTGCCTAGCAACAGTCATGACCTCGTATCACAACTGCCTTTACGACATTCTTTTAATAGACGTGCCAACGTTAATGAGTCGTCCCAACAAGTTTAAATTGCATGAATTACTCTCAATCTCAATTCGATATGATAAATTGAAGTGTACCGAAATATACTTGCTGATGGTCGCTTATTAAATGGTATGAATACTCAAAAGATCTGTGATCTTTGTCAAATGAAAACAATAAATTGTTGAAATTTTGTTTTGTGTTTGAATTAAACCCTTTTACCTATATTAGGAAATCAAAACATGACATGGGACACGACCCCACATTCCAAAATGTGAATCGGACTTGTGTTTAACAATGCCTTATACTAACTATAGACTGTCTTGTTGAATTAACCTTTGAAGAATTTACTAGAATTATGATAAAAAATAAATATGTTTAGGGTTAAATAAAATGCGCGATGCTATTTTCAAATGTCTTTATTTTAAAATTTCATTTAATCAAATGACAGTATATTACATAACAATAAATAAATCTGATTTTTTAGGTATAGAAGTATATAATGATATTTCTGTACACAAAATAAAACCATTCCGTTTTACCCATAACAATATCACATCGTTAGGTGTGTACTTGAATGTGCCCTTCGAAAATATTTCATAGTTTTTTTTGCTATGCAAACCTAGCATATTTGTAACAAGCCACATTTGATGCAAATTTATTGGCAATGATTGGCAACTATTAACGCAAAGTAGCGAATTTTAATCTCCTACCTACTTCACACATTAAAAACTTACAAAATAAAAATACAACCTGGACGACAATGTGATGCCCCGGTAAGGAATGATAGGACCAATTTTTACCGGTCGCAAAACTTGCCATCCGCAATAACTAATTATTTAGTCTTATACAGGGGAAAGATATTCAATTATGCAACTGTGAATCGCTTCAATGTTATTTACCAATATTCTGCTAAGTCTAAAAATAAATACATATATTGATTTCTATCCCCTACGCAAAATGTCTCTTACCAAAAAGCTATGATTTTCATACTCGACAAAGCACTATACCTCATCTAAAAAAATCTAAACTAATGAGAGCAGATGGGAACTACAAACTATGAGCTTAGCACAATCACTCATAGTTACACGAAATGTGAACAAGCCGAAATCTTAATTTTACCAGGGGCTATGATGTCACATACAATTGCTATTTTAATAATGTCGTAAACGTGGCTTTAAATTATACATAAATAGTTGCGACCACTAATCTGGTTAAGACCCCTGCATTAACATTTTCTCTGCTAAATTCCAAGAGTAAAGTTCTCAATAAAGACCATCTATGTAACCGACAACAATTTTCTAAAAGTTTTTAACTCGTAATTAACTTTTTCATAATTGATGCAATTTGAAGGACTTCATTCTCGCTCGTAATAAATTTACTATACGGGACATTTTATAAATGCGATATTTATCCAATAAATTCGAGGACCTGATGGAAATGTCCGAGTCCCTTCGAACTTTCGCAAAGAAAAGTTAATAATACATTTTACAGATATTACAAGAATATAGATCTTCGAAGCTTTAATTTTAAACCCTGTTTTTGTATGACCTCTCAGGAATGATTCGTGCAAACTAATGATTTGATTAATGCTTATAGATAAATTCTTACTATTGAAGCTTAACAAATTTACAATAGTTTATTTTGAACAACTAAAACAACATGAGAGCAATATTTTTATAAAATCAACAATATTATAAAATATTTTCATACGTAAATTTTCGAAAATACTATAAAGGAACAAATACTTATCAGTCAAAATATTAAAAATGAACCTTTGTTTTATATTTGGTGGATATTTTGAGCTCTTTATTATCCACTTGCATAGTGGGATTTTGCAAAAATAAAATCTTGTAAATATAACGCCTTTTTAAGTCAGGCTTAGACTACCTAGTATTCGAAAGTTGTCGATGTCGGCACTACTTCCATTACCATCTGTAGAAACACCGTTATCTTGTCTGAAAGGAACATATTTTTATTGATTATACTTTCTTGTCTCGCATTAGTAATTTTTAAGGGGTATAAAATAGTTTGTCAGAATTATGTGGGTACAATTAAAATTAAATTCCATAGTTAACGTGCCGTAGCACAGTACCAGGCGAGGGATCAACAGCTTGACGTGATCAGCCTAGGCACAGGGTGTTTAATACCCCAATAAACCAAATACTCGTTAATTTTAATTTCTGAAGTTTTTCTTACCCATAAATGGCAGAGAATACCCCCATTTCACAAAGGGGATATAAACAAGTAGACCGCCAAAGATAAATCCAGTCGCATACAGATACTCCCATTGCGGTTTGTCTATGATTGGGGCTACCACGAGGTATGTCGATACTATTAGTACAATGTATGGGATAATAATTGGCACCTGTTGACAAAAATACATTAAACACCTTATGCAAAATCCAATACTCACGGATTTTTAAAAGGCCGAAAAAAATCTAAATTTATTATCTGTGGCATTTTTTTGCGTGCGTCACTTCCTTATTTTGTTATTATTCGTACGAGCTACTAAGTACGAAATCTACTAAAATAATATAATCTATAACAACTAATCACAGCTTTTATCGGACTACAATTAACTTAAAGATACTATTCGGCTTAAGACGTATATATACAATTTTCATTTCCTTTGTTTAGAATTTAGATGGAAACACGTATTAAATTACAAATGACGATAAATGTGAACCACCAACTCACTTGGCCTGCGTGGTGGATAACGTTGCTGATAATTAAATGCGAGTGAATAGTATTAAAAAACCTTTTTGTATATCGTACCTTGTAAGGCCTGGGCGCATGTGGCTTTGTCTTCCTCATAACGATAAGTGCCAACATAGCACCTCCGTAGAATATCCACGCAGTGAATGAGAAGAAGTCAATCAGAGAGTCTATGGTACCATATAGCACCATTGCGACCGCAATCAGAGACTATAAAAAATAATGTGTGAGAAAATGTCCCATTTCCACAGGGAGTTAGTCCATTACAGCTCTAGTTATATTTACTCATAATTACGAAAATGCCTCGATAAGCAATTGGAAGTTAACCTATTTGACTAATGGAGTCACGACGGCAGATATGAAAGAAATGTCATAGTATAAAATTTAAAATATCATGACGGGAAAATGTTTTGAAAACAATTTATAAGTAAACTGAGCTACAAGTACGAACGACAGATATAATAGAATACTTAACCAAATAAAAATACAATGGCGCTACAACCTGTTAATGGTCGCCTCATATTGTATCTGTTTCGTGATCACTTATTTTTCCTAATAGGCAAGTAGGCAAATAGGTGATCAGCCTTCAGTGTGACATACGCCGTTAACTTTTTGGGTCTAAGGCATACCGGTTTCCTCGCACAGACAAAAATTCTTTTGTTGCACAGTCGGGATTCTAAGGGTCGAAACCTACGACCTCTGGGATGAGAATCGCACGATGAAGCCACTAGGCCAACACAGCTCGTATATATACACTGCCCAAATAGAAATAACTAACAAAAACATAAGCAGCACTCTATAGTGTTATTTGGAACTTAACAAAGTATAATACTCCAAATGTATATGACACCGGAGGATAACAAAATCCGCAAGTTTATAAATTTGATTTCAGATTTTTCTGAAATCTTTCATTTCAGATGATTCAGAAATTTGAGGCCAAGACCTAAAGAGGTTGTAGCGCCACTGATTTTTTTTCGCAAATTAATCAATTTACGACGTCTCGTGGTAAATTTATAAACTAACGGATAACTGTTAATTTCGCGCTGCTAACAATAACTATATATTTAATTACTCTATACTTTACAATTTACATGAATCTTTCGTAACTAAAGTTTATATTAAGGTTACCAGGGTATACGTTTTACTCATCATTCTTAACCCCTTATTCATAAAAACTAAATTAGTTATTAACCTCTATTAACTAAAGTACTCTGTGGTTTGTCAAATTGTTTTAAGGCTTGCATGAATAAGGCGTTGAGAATTAGAAATACTTACATGGAAAATCAGTCCAGGCGCGGGTGTAAAGCGGCGCACATGCACATACGATAGTATATCTAATAGATGACCTTCACGGGATGCTGCGAAACACAACCTGCGGAACGAATTACCTATAATAGCATTCATTATGCTAATATTACATATAAGTTATTACTTTAAACAATACGATTTTAACGCATGAATTGACTAAATTTAAATTGAGTAGTTGTCAAAAATTATTAGGTTTATTAGTTATTATTCTGAGATGACGTTTGGCGTGCTTGTATAATAGCATATAATATAGTCATTCATTGTTGTTGTGTCTTTGTATTTCATTTATCCTGTTTTATTTGTATGAGTTGTGTGTGTTGAACTGTAAATAGACGGTGCGAATCCATATAAAAACGTGTCAAAAATTGTAGCTGAAATAAAGATTTTATAACTTTAAGAGATTAGAACTTCGACTTAAGCTCACGCAGAAAATCATTTGTTTAAACATGCAATGACGCTGCTCAATCCTTATATTTTATAAACAAAACACAAATCTTTTCCCTAGACGTGCTATTTATCTCTCAATTAGGCCATTAATTTTAACTTGGCATGTTGCTTGCTTGGCAAATTAAATACAATGTCTTACCTTCCTGCCACAAACAAAGTGCCGTTTGCCGAGCCAAAAGTGGATATAGTGACGGCCAAAGGCATTAGCCAAGCCATAGGGCCCAGCAGTCGATTGCCGAAAGTAACTGCTACGGCCTCACTATCCGTCATCTCACTGACCGACATCACGGCCAAGTATGATACGTTTACAAGCGCGTAGCATAGTGTCACCAGTGGGATACCGATTATGATGCTCAACGGTAGGTTCCTAAAATTAATTTAAGCTGTTAGCATACTGAAGAGAATATTAACCCAGAGGTGCCGACTGCGTATTCGAAGCCTCACTTTGTTGTTAAAGAAAACTATCTTTGCGTTATTTATTAAGTTAGTTAGTAAGTATAAGAAACAGATTTTTTTTATACATATGTTGAATATTTTATCAGATTTATAGTAGAGCTTCGGGCTAAAGCTTTTAGCAATACGAGAGATATCTTCAAGACATTTCTTGTTTAGTTACGGATGAAATAATTAACAGCATTGTATATTTAGTAATAAAAATGTCTTACTTGGATGGATTTTTTATTTCTTCAGTAACATAGTTGAGATTGTTCCAACCGTCATAGGCCCAAAGGCCGGTGTAGAATGCGGTGGCAATGTTGCCCAGAGTCGCCGTACTACTGGCGAAGTTGGGCTCCTGTAAATGTCGCGTATTACCTGCACCATACGGACACAACTGCTGTCAGTCTACATCAAGTATTCCCCCATTATGATTATGTTAATGATGAAGTCGGTGATTTTACGTTAATTAAGATTATTAGGGTTTAGGAGGTTGTTTATCAAAGAAGGAGCTATTAATCATACACAACTTTAAGCAATGTCACCAAAAACACTTCTTATATTTATAAAATTAAATTCCCTTACTATGCAAATTACTCTATAAAGATTGACCATAATTGTAGCCATCTCGGTTACAATTTAGCAGTTCTGGAGCTGAGGTTTAGGTGAAACATTAATTGAATTGACTAAAACTGTCGTTTATATCGATTATTGTGAATTTGCTTTACCACAAATGTCACATAATTTAGAATTAATTTTGTACACGCGTAATCAATAGATATTCGTTCGAAATTAACAGAATACCTACTAATTTCAGGTATATTACTCATACGATGGAAGATGATTACACACCACGCCCATTCAAAGGCTTTTATTACCTTGTATGAGTTTGTAAGCTCCTCCACAAACGATGATTGCTATGGCCACTAACTTTGCCGCTGTAAAGATGTTTTGCACATTTGTCGCTAAGTTCACGCTATAGCAGTTTACAGCCAATATCATCACTGAAAGTTAATAGAAACAAAGTATAAATGCTTGCTAACTAAGCTAACGTTACTAAACCTATAATGGTGACTAGGCATTTAAAATATTTATTACTAAAAATTTTTTTCAATGCAGTAATTTCCCTAATGTTAAAAAAATTACGGACAGAGAAAAGTATGAAAGCAACCACACCACAAATTATAATATTATTCGACGAACGCTACATAGATAATGCAGTGAAACGTTTAACGTGTATTGTTATCGCTTTTCCAAATTTTAAGGTTTTTGCATCGTTCTAGTTCAAATAAAATTTTATTCATGTTCGTACAAAGTCAGGTTAGATCGCTTCTATGCGCTTTGTTTAAATCAAAGTTTAAATGACACAAAATTCTAATAAAAAGGTTTATAGGAATAAATAAATAATTAAATTATCTTACCTATAGCAATAACAGCCACAAGTTTTACGAGTGTGTCCGGGGGTTCGCATTCTGAGACGAACGGCTCGACCGCATATTTCGCAAAACTCAGGCAAATAATCGCCATTTGCGAGGGCTTCAGAACCAGCGTGGATACCTATAATAAAAAAATCCGTATATTCTTTTATTCTTAATCCGTTAGAGGACCACAAACAAAATCAGTCTGATTAGGTACATTGTTTTAACTACAATTATACACATTGATACTTTATAGATATCTTATGTACCTTCGAAACACTAAAGGCTAAAACATTATTAATTATTCGTACCCATGAAAACAAAAATGCGGGTGGCCCTCCAAATGCGTCCATAAAATATGCATACTCAGCACCGGATGACGTGTTCATTGTCCCCAATTCAGCATATGCGAGCGCTCCTGAACAATCATCAATGTATGAAAGATTAATTTTTATTAAATTTCTACGAAAGAAGCAGATGATGTATTCTTAATAGTAAGATGTATGATTTCAAAAAAACGACATAGTTTCAACGTAAGTTTAATAGAAACGTAATCAATCTATACGTAATTACAGTATTTTAACTAAAATACTCTTTTGTTTCTTTCTATCAAATTGAACTTACAATGTGATTAAAATACTTAAGTTATAAAAGTGCAATTAGACCTCATGCTATCTTTATTTTCTAATCTCGTCACCACACTCGATTTTCAGATCAGGATTAGTGAATAAATCAAGTGTTTGATTCACTTAAGAATTAATTTGAAGATTATTTTTATTGTAATTACCAAGCAATGAGAGTAGGCCACAAGACATCCATATTATGAAGCTTATGCCCACTGAGCCAGTGCGCTCCAGAAGCCCAGAGGGCGAGACGAATATACCAGATCCTGAAACAAAACCAAAGTTAGTTTGTGCAACTACTAGCCATAATGACTACGACTCGTAAATCCTAACATTTCATAATCGTAGTTTAACCAACAGTTATTTGTAAAATACATTTGTGTAGATATGATAAAAATATACTTACATATTTTTGTAAATTTTTACAAATATATTTACATAATAAAATATATTAGTGGTAAAATTAAATTAAATACTAAAGATTATAAAATTAATATAATGACTCAGTAATCACAAGTATGTATATAAAAAGACTGGAGTCATATTTCAGTCGATTCATAGCAAATATATGCATATGATATCATGTATTTTACAAGCATGACATGAGTCAATTGAAATTAAATTAGTCAACAATCTTGCCTTTATAGATAATTTTTTTCAACCGGATTACAAAGTATTATGTTTATATTTAGTAAATAGGGATTGGAAAAAATAAATATAATACCTTATGATTATGTTAACGAAAAAACATCATTAGCAATAACGGAAGAAGCATCAACAGATATTTTAAATTATGTTACGACAAGTATGTTCGTAACATATTGAACAAACAACTCTTAAATTCTATATCTAGGTCTCTCTCAGTTTATTATTATGAATATTCATTAACAGTTACAAACTGTTCGACAATAAAAATCTGGATTTTTATAAAACTATAAAGGTTAAATATCGATTGAACTTGCTGTACTAACCAATCATAGTTCCGACGATTAGAGCCACCCCACTGAAGAGTCCCACCCGTCTCTTGAGGTGAACAGGGTCGTCCGGAGCTGCGCCCGACCCCTCCAACTGGTAAACAAAATTCAATTAAGTAATTTTACGTACCTACAATAACAGAATTGTAACAGTTGTCAAAATGGTGCTTATGACTCCTGAACGGTGTAACAATACTAATAATATTATGTATTTTCCATTATTTATTATTTTTTTACATTGAACGACTTTTTATTTAGCGCGGAAATTGTATTCGTATCGGCTTTCTTACGAAAAAATTCGTTTAATCTTATATCATGAGAACATGTACTATCGTTACTCAAATAAGATAACCGTACTGCTTTGTCCCTGAAAAGAAAAAGCCGGATGTCCAGGTTAAATACAGTGTATACTGGGACTAATTAACTTTAGCCACGCAGGTGAAATAAATAACGTAGGTACTTTTAAGCTGCAAAACTTTAACACGTAAAGCGTGGGAAAATTTGAATCGAAGCATACACACGTATTTATAGAACTTGGTCAAGGCTCGCAATTTATAGGACTCATTTGCCAATATAAATAAACCGATTCATATAGACTTTTAGCTTGTTATACTAATATATGGGCTGATTATACCTTGTCTCCTGGGTTGGCGTTTCCGTCGGTGAGAGTTCCCGTCGTGCCGTCTTCGGCGTCGCAGCCGGCGGAACACCCGCGCCATACCAATCCGCCTTCGCGTGCGCTCCCTGCAAACGTATTGCACTTGGTATCACTTTGGTTCAATTTTATATTGGCAAGACTAAAGATTTCCAATTTAATTTTTACCCTTCGAAATTAAAAAAATACTATGGAAGATATAGATTATATTTGACAATTGACCTAAAAAAAGTACAAAACGTATCTACCTCCATACTCTACTAGAACACCCATTCAAGTTTTACTGCTTCAAATATAATAAGCAGTAGTACCAGCCAATGGTCACGTCTAAAAGTAGTAACTCACTGAAGGAAAATGCGAAAATATCTGATGTGGACTAAAAGTATATAGTAATTTGTATTTGTTCTTTGTACATTTCTTAAAATCTCCGATGATCACTAACCGTTAATCTTTGTCTGTTGACTTAAATCTATTTATTAAACTGTCTATTGATTTAAATCATATAATTTTCCTAGTAAGTGCTTTTGGACTCACTTGGCTATTGATACTCTGAAATATATCAAATACCATAGATATACTGATTTCCTATACTAATATTCATTCATGCTTAATTTTAGCTATCATTTAAGAAGATTATAAGAAAATGTGTAGAATCAAGTGAATGAAATACGGACCTCCATTTATTGTTTTGTAAATTTTAGACAATCGTTCATATTTTTCAAAGTCTTTATTTGCGATTAAAACAAACGCTATTGGCGACACTACTAAGTTTGAAGAAACCATAAATCGTCTCTTAATGGTCTTCGATCAAAAACAATTACAAAGATTATTGCCAAGAATTTAGGATTATGTGATACATAGTTTACAATAACGAAAATAAAATGTAGAATATTTTTGTTTTTAACGTAGTTAATTGTTTGACGTATTAATACGTGTGGCTAGGTTTACTTTTCATTACTTACTTCTTTTTCCAAGAAGCTATTGCGTAGGTACATTTATGTAGATCCTTATAACTTTTAAAACTACATCAAAAGTTAAATTGCTGGTTAAAACAAAGCAAAGTTCAGTGAATCAAAGATTACAAGATGCTGCGAGGATTAGATTATTGAGGATTTGGTATTCAATTTAAATGGCTATTATTATGTAATGTTTCACTAAGCTTCATGGTAGTTTGTGTAGCCTACTAGGAAACACCAATACATCACTGGATATTAGTAGACAATATATTATTTAGGACATTACACATAAGAAGACGATAAAAATACTTATAATTATAATTTGCCACAAGCATAAATTAAACTTGTGTAAAGGTCTCGAATTTCGTTGACGCGTCTACATTTGATCCTAGCCTACATATTTCTAAACACAAACGCTACGTAATCAAAACATAATGTTCAACATCACGTAGGCAATGTGTATTACGAACCAATATTTGAATAAATCATTTACAAAGTTAGCTGTATAATGCACACAGCATATATATATATTTTTCTTATTAGTTTTTTACTCGACGTCTGTCCCAGACAAAAATAGTTCTTTATTTACAAGTATTAAGAGGTCCAATCGATTGAATTCAATAAATACTTTTACATGATTAAAACAAGTTCGTATTTCAATCGCGATCATTTATTTTCAGTTTTACACAAAAATAATAAAATGAAAACAAAACCCCTATAACACTTAAATCTATTATTTATCGCATTACGTAATAAGTTATATTGCTAACTATGTAGTTGAAGCCAACCAAGAAATATTTTTCATTACCCAATAGTAGTACAGAGTTGCAAAGCTTCTGTAGGTGAATAAAACAACTAATAAATTACGAGGTTTATGCGAAATTCTTCGACTGACGTCGTCCGTCACGCGCCGACATTCAGCAGGGTCCAGGAATAAGTCAGATACACGTAACTGTTAGTTTAGCTAATAAATTACAATCACATCAGAATATACAAAACTACTAAAACCATAGAAGATTTATTTGGGAGATGGCCCAACCAAACATATTGAATATAAAACCGTATTCACCAATCACGTAGCTTTTCGCTTACGCTATGATTGTGAAGTATTTTGTATCGGATAAAAAAGTGGCAGGTTAAGAATGTTGAGATAGAGACGTTGAAACATTATACTAAAAGCTAGAGCAAGAAACCGAAGTTATATTTTTTTCTTTACATCAGCTAATTATTTTATCCTTTAAAAATTACCATTCAAAATATATAATCTTAGTTTTGACCTTCATCTGAGAAGAAAACAGGAGAAACACTGCCATTCCGCAATTTTTCCGTATTGGCCGTATGCGCTGGCGCGCGTACAGATTTGCTAAGGAGCTCGGCAATTTTGTCGCGCATCGCATCGCATACACGACCTCGATGCGGCTGCTGCGCGGGCGCCGGCGCCAGTGCCGCCTAAACTGATTACACTTCAGCCAAACTGATCCAATTAGTTTTAATACACGCGACCTAGCAATGTCACACTATTAAACATTAAAAAATCACACTTTCAAAGAACTATTGTAATCTAATATCTAAAACACAGCACTTATAAGTTTAAAATATTGCTTTATCAAGGCACTTCAGTTTACGTAAAAAACTACGCATAAATGTGAACGTGTCGCTGGCTCAGGGCGGACTGGCTATTCTCGGTGTCAGCAGACACGTGGGCGGACGGATTTCTCGCCGCCCGCCCACCGATCAATGGCCACGCGATTTGACACCTGCTTAAAAGTCCTTACAGATAACATTATGCGCTCTCCACGTGTTCTTTTAGTTTACAGTAATCGTTTGGTCCAGAGTTTGATGACGTTAGCTGTTAAAATAAAACTACAATTACCATAACACAATGATTATACTAATGTTACTGGAAAAAAACTAAATCCATAAATTCTAAAACTATTGTCTTTCTCAAAAGTCTGTATCGAATCAAATCACAAATAAATAAATAAATTATATGTTGTCGTGAAGTAATCATAAGTTAGTATAACTATTTCATATAATTTTCATAAATGTGCGACGTTTTGTGTATGATTTATCTAAGTACTTATTCGATATTGAGTATGCCCGATAGCATTCAAAAGCATTCATTGTTTGGCACGCGCTACGATTAACGAATGGACACAGATATCAATGTCTTACTCTTTAATTGCTTGGTTACATTATACTGAAATATTTTCTTGTTTACACGATATCAAACAAACATCACTAATATAAAGCTTTTAAATAATCACGTAATTAGCCTGTTTGTCTCTATTACTGCTCTTAACATTGCAATTTAAATTTATGAACTTAAAAGAGAATTAATTTAATTAGAATTGTTATTTTATTGTTAAATTGTAATATTTTCTTTGTTGTAACGTAATTGTCGTAACTCTACTACTTGCGTTTACGGGTCAAATAAAACTTCACCAATATGTTGCCATTTTTAAATATTTCGCGCTCTATTTGTAAATTGGCGATGTGACTTCAACTTTCATTTTTATATTCTTCCTAGAAAATAGATAGATATACTTAGAATATAAAGCATATATAATTAAACAATCGATAAAATCCCACATCCCTGTTATTGAATACGTACGAAAGACGTAATTAAACGTTTCTCGTGACTTTTATTTATAGAATCAAGACAGAAAGATATGTTGTATGACGATATGGATACTATGGATAAAAGGTACGACTTTTGATATAATATTTTTAATGTAATTATTTCATTTCATATAGACATCATTATCTAATATATAAAAAACTCGTGTCGCGGTGTTTGTGGTTAAACTCCTCCGAAACGGCTTGACCGATTCACATGAAATTTTGTGTGCATATTGGGTATGTCTGAGAATCGGACAACATCTATTTTTCATCCCCTTAAATGTTAGGGGTAGTCCATCCCTAATTTTTTAGATATTTTTTTCTGTTTTTATGATACAGCATTAAAAATACTCTACGATCAACCCCTATTTTCTTATTATAAATGATATACATGGCAAAACGACGTTTGCCCGGTCAGCTAGTAATTATATATACACGACTAATTTAAGCAATTACATAGCAGGTATTAATGTCGTATACTTCGAGAAACAACTGATATCTGGTATATATAAACCTCTTCTTATAACGAAAACCGTCGAGGTATCAATCTAAATATTTTTTTCTTTATGTTCTAGGACTTTGATATAATTCTATTTTGAAAAAAGAACACCTTTCCTTTATTTAAATAACGAAATGTGTTAAACAACGTTATGTGCCCATGTCTCAATGAGGTAAAACATACCTGATTTAAATTTGAAAATATATGATATTACTTTTCAATACATTACACGATACAAACATGTAATTTAGCCCTAGAGCTTGGAAGCCTAAATCATGATTATTACTTACTTAAATATTATACAACAATATCACATAAATACTGCCTCATAAACATTACGAATATTCATGATAATAAAAAGTCATCAGGTCGCCCACCCGGGATTCTTGTTTTGAAACTTTTACAGACATGGAGACGCCTGAAACGTGACCTTGGATTGACCTTCAGAAAACTTTTGCAGTCATTTTCTCAAGAGTGAAGACAGAAAAGAAGGTTCATTTAATTTAAACAAAGAATAAATCTGTTAAATATATTACCATATTAGTTTAAAATTCTATTCTGTATTCGGTAACATTTATTGTCTACGTGGCTTAGTGGTTAGCGCACATGTATTTCGAAGACAAACTGCTTCGGATTTGTAACCACGGTGGGCTGAGCACCCGGTTACCATCATTAATTAAACAGATGCAGGAACGTATATACCCCATACCCCGACCTCGTTCCGGGATTACACCAGTATCCGTGGCAAAATTGTTTTCATACAAAAGACGGTCATTTTATTTCATATCATGCTGATGGCTAAAATAAATAAATAAAGCCGTTGAATATAATACAAAACTACTGTAGCATCTTTATAACAATTCTACTAAATTTACAGTATGAATGTGTACATAATCCAAAAATATTTTTTTTAGAATATCTCAAGAAACACGTGAAGCACAGAAAGCTATTCTAAGAATAACGTCATACCATAACATCTTTTACCTCTAAACATATTTTGTAACACTTACTGAGATAGAACTTTTTATTTTTTATAATAAAAATCACTATAAATTTCAGATGATCAATTTTTTAAAGAATATCCGCACGGTATAATTTTAATATGTATTTATAAATGTTAACTGTATTAAAAAATTAGATATTAGATGTTAGGCAAAACAACAGTCAAACGCATGACGCAGGATTTTAAGACTTGGTAAATTATTTGATCTCAAGTAATAGATAAAATCTAGCTATTCTTTATTTTTAACCAGCGTAGATAGCGCGTACTAAATAATATGTGGGTACACTTCACACAACCATGGCGTGAACTCATTAATATCTCAATAGGTTCATATACGAGTAATTGAAACAAATTTTTCCTACAACAATAAGTGTTGCCACATAAAGAAGTCATTCAATATCATCGTCAATTAGAGCTTTATACCTACATCAAATTAGTATATAAGGTCTATTTCATTTATGATGTAAACATACAGCATATTTTCCTCTGCTAAGTTAGCTTTAAAAATCACTCAAAGGAGTAGCTTCAATCAATAACTTTGACGCATGCGTCAAAACGTGCAATATCTTTGATAGAAAGAAGCTGATTGTTACTAAAACAAATTTATAATAAAACAGCTATGCTTTTCTATATTTTATAAACATAATTAAACAATGAACAACAGTTTATTTAAATCAAAAAAATGAACTGTTAAAAATAAAATAAACACATATTTTTCTGACGTTTTGTAGTCGGTAATAGCACCAAGCTATTTTATTATATTATACATAAAATGTAAAAAAAATTGTCACAGATTTTTATGGAAATATGGAAATTCTTTCAATTTTAACACTAGCTATTATTGATGACGCATAGAAAAATGAGTGACAAGATCGGTGCTTTTGGAAAAGATAACTATGAAGAAGGCGATTGCCGCGATAGTATTTTGATAAAAACGATAATATTATCCGAGTAATCCATGAAGTGCCCATGACTGTTGTCTATTCATGACTTACTTTAATGAAAACCCGTACGTGATTGATAAGTTATCGGGCTTCTTTGTGCTATATTTGCAGCCACAAACAATTCAAGGCAAAATAAACAAGAGTACCTAAAATAACATACAATTGTATTCCGACAATAAAAACTTAAACATGTGAACTGCCTAACCAATTAAATGAAAATAAAATAGATAGATGTGAATTTGAAAGATATGTGGACTGATTTTAGCTGTATCTAGCTAACTATGTGCTCAATTATTTGTGCCTATATTCTGCGAAATCTACAAAGCAGCTGTGTGTGACAATATTTAAAGTCTCGAATAACCCAGATATAATGTCATTCTTCACCTTATGATTGGCACCTGAAGTATGTATGGTAATGTGATGCATGACATCAACAATGACACACTATACATCGCTACAAGATCCCTCTAGAGCTTATATAATTATGGCTCTCATAAACCATATATTGATTGACAGCAAAAAAGATATTGATTAATATGATTAATTAAAGGTCGTAATCTTCAATAAATTAAATAAATTATAGTAATAGAGTAAAAACCGACTTATAATCGGGAGGTCAAAGGATATAATTAAGACAAAGTTTTTTGTTTACCAGCTGTTTTAACTTTCTGTTAGGTGGAGGAATCATGGAGATCTTTATTTTACAAAATACTTATTAAAGAATTTATTAGCAACTGCATTATATAACGGTTTTTTTTAAATGTAGAACCTGCCCTTGAGAGTTAATATGACATTTTTATGAATACAGCGTGATATCTCATATAGAACTAGCGTTCTACGAAAAATATATTACATTTAAGGTCAACAGAAATCGATATACCACAAATGTCGATAAAAACTATTAAATCAATTAAAAATTCTAAATTCTAGTTTTAAGCAACAGACTCACTTTTTCTATAAACTTGTCACATCCGACATATAATTTCAAGTTATATTAAACACTACTGTTTTATTTTAATATAGGTTTCTTATTTAATAACAATGTACTCTACAAGTCTTTTAAGCGACTGATTGACGAGGGCAATAACTTATCAACTATAACGTCTGATGTCAATTTAATTTGCTTCTTGTTAAGAACAGTATTTATTATAAGCGCCACAAAGGGCTTTATAAGGATTCTTTAGACCTGATTTTAGACAGTTTGTCGATAAGAATACTATATTTTTGTTGGGTCACACCACAAGTCATCGGTTGACCATTGAAATCAGAATGAAATAATTGTAAAATCTTCAGAGTTGCCCTTTTTATCCGGTAAAGTATACATTCGTTTACAATATATAACTAAAAGCGGTAAAAATAAATATATTTAGTTAATAATAATAACTATTCGATGAGAAGGTTTCGAAAATAAATCATTAATTAATTACGTAGTACTTAACCTGTCAGCGGGACAGGAACGTCTATGTGCCCATGTCCCTCATGGGAAATAAATCTCAGTAGGAACGGTGCGTTAAGATAGCATCAAATGGGATCAATATGTATATAAACGTGTCTGTACAAAATACATTTTAGCATAAATTCTAAAACGGACGACAAAATAGGAACAGAATAGAAAAACCAATTTTCACGAAAGGATTTTAATGTTCTATATGGTAGTTCTACTATATAGTCATTTGTTGACATCAATCGAAATGGATTAATGAAATAAAAATTGTTTTAATGTTACGATGATACTGACTAAAATACATATGTATATACTATATATTCCATTCAGGCCATATTGCGGATATAAACTCGTTTAACAATATCTCCCTAGTGTTTAAATACATGATGCCACTAGGGAATTATATCATAAGTATATACGTATATATGGTTAATTATGTCTATAGAAAATTGTTATCAACATAAAATTTACCTACCTATACAATTTATAATATACTATAATTTTCCTATTAAACTATTATATTTCTGATTAAAATTTTAATAAAAGCTTTTGCTCTAACTCAAATACAATTTTATAGACTAAATATAGAAAATTTATTAAAATTTTCATGATAATAATCAGATTTTATTATAAGGTATATATGACTAACTTGACTTTAAACATAGTTGCTGTTGGTAAAATTATCAAAATAGTTCTATATTATTCATAGAGAGATCTGTCGATGATTAGGTTAACTGAAGTGTGAATGTCAACTGTGCTTTTATCCTTTATCTTTATTACATTATTAGTCGTTACCATGCAACAACGTGTTTTTTATAGTTACTTTATACTTAGGGGCGTCCATAAATTACTATTTAAGGGGAGGGATCGATCAAATCTCATTTAATCTTAGTTGGAGAGAGGGGGTCTCGGCAAATATCACGCAATTTTTTTCCGATTGAAATTTTTTTAGGAAAACGGTTGACCCTAAAGGTCACCTCTGCAACTTTCCGCTAACTCCATACCTAAACGCTCAACATTTCACTTATTTTGTTTTAGTCGCAAATAAAAGCACAAAACAATTTTTTTTTTTTTTTTACAATAACAATCCAACGTTTACGTAAGAAACCCAATTTTGAATAATCTATTGGGGTTGGGGAGGGGTTAAATAAAATCTCAACATTAAGGGGGAGGGAGTCACAGAAAATTTAAAAAACACCTCACGTAATTTAGGAGCCTATAAAAATAACTTGTACTAATATTTTTTTGATAAATTCTTTGACACATTTTTTTATAAAATTATTTTTATTTTAAGTACGGTACAGTTTCTTATATCTAACGCCATTCATTGAAACAATAAAATCATTAATAACAGACCGCTTTTATAGACTGCACGCGATTAATTTAAAGATAAATGATTGTAGATATCAATTGACTTTAAATACCATAAGTAACTAAAACTAAGCTATAAGCTACTTCACGATTTTTTTTAATCATAATATCTTTCGTGAGCAAATTACACGAAAGAGATCGCTCTAAGCGTTAATTATTTTGAATATTTGAAACTACAAACTTTAAAATATCATTTTATATAAAAAAATATGTAAATTCACGATTATATACATTAAAGAAGTTTTATTTTTGTAACGTGGCCTGACCTTTATACATCCTTTAAGTTCCAATGTAACATGATGGTAACGATAATACACGTGAAGGAGTGCAAGGTGTAAGTCCAAAGTTATTCACAAAATTGTAGCAATGCAATATAAAGAAAGTAGATATAAATGAAATTTAGCTTGTGATTTAATAATTGCAATAACTTCATCATGTTTAGGTTGTGTTAATGCTACAAATCTCTACGAATTCAAACGTAGCATGCCCTTAAGTGATCAAGGTTACGCTGTCCTTTTTCGTAGAACATAATATTACGTTCTTCTATACACGAAAGTAAATCTTCTTTATTTTTCATATCCAAATGTTCTTAAATTTATTGTATTATTATATTACATTAATAAACTCATTAAATATATATTTTATGAATTTCTGAATAATATAGAATTACCAAAACCTTTAAATACATCTTTATTAAATTGACTTTAAATATAATTTTATACAATACCCGATATTTCTAAGGTGGGAAATTGGTATAAAATGATTTATGTGTGTATTGTGTAAGCAATGGGAATAAATTGCATCAGAATCCGACACCCAGTGTATTCTAAACAAAACGAGCTTATGTCATGTGACACAGTGAAGTCTTATTTATAATATATCTTATTATACCGTTTAACATATAACTTACCATTACATGCAATCGTAGGCGGCTGTTCATGGTGATGCATTGCTCGGAGCACCGTGATGCGTAAGGAGGACCGCGCCCTTTCATGTCACAAGCGAGACTGAACGAGCTGACTGGCCGGTGGCTGCCTGAAACAGTCGAACTTCCCTTGCCCCAAACCCCGCACTCCGCATGCGCGGCTGAAAAGTCCTTATTCTTCTGAATCAGTCTGCTTACGTACTAATGAATGGCCGCGATGAAATACGAGGTGACGTACTCATAGTTATAAGATATGCAAGCAAAACTTTGTTATAAATAGTAAACTATGCATTCGGTATGTGCGCCCGCAGAAATTGTTTTACTTTTTGAGTTTTAGTACTAAACGAGGTAATATTTCAAATACTACCTACATGTGTGTATGCAGGGTTATAGAAACTACTGTATAAGCACATAAACAGAACGAAAGAAGAATTTAATTAATATTTCAAGATCAATAGATAAATAGACAAGGCTGCCTGAATTCGTATGTCGCAAATATGTATGAACCTATTACTAAATAAACCTGCGTATTAGCCATGCTTTACTCCAAATTCTTGAAGCTGAATACAAAAGGGCCGAAAATATGCTTATATACTTTCTAAATTATTTACAGATAAGTTACACGTTTAACAGTTAATTTATTTTCGACCATAGAAAAAAATTACCTGCACTGTAAACCTTATTAGGTTCACTCTATTGTGTGCAGTCGGGTTTTTAGTTTAATAATATTTTTATATTCGCTATAACTTTATTGTAAGGGAAGATAGTCTTAACAAAATAGTGTGTATCTTTTACATAAAATTCATATTTCATCTCTCAAAGCATCCATTCCTTGTTTGTGTACGTCAGCAAACACTGTGGCAGTATTGATATTTGATAGAGACTTGTGCATACTACTGTAGTAGATAGTATCAACCGACTTAGTAACTTTGGGATACCACAAACCATACTGGAAATCATGATGAGGTAGTAATTGACTGTATGAAGGACGATGCGAGACGTGGCCGTTTATATAATGAAGTAGTCAGTAATTCATACTGAGTCAGCAGTTGTACTTTAAGGGGGTTCCCGACAAAAATATAAACGGGAAATGTCTAAAGTCTAAGAGCATCAGACTATAGAGTTTAGACATTTCCTAGAATTTAGAAAACCCGTTAGGATAAATAAATCTATATTTTGCGACTACCGTGATTTAAAACAATTTTGCAACAATTAAGTATATAACTTAAATATACCTATACGCTTTAATAACCTTCAAATTATTACCTACACTATGACGACGTAGCTTTGTCATCGAGTGGTATTAAGTATAACAAGATTAGTTTTATAAGATACAATTTAAGTCTATTTTTTCATCTAGTAGACATACAATATTATTTACTTACTATACATATAAGCTAAATTGTATGCTATGTGATTGATAAAATAATATCTTAACAGCCATTTATACATACATACTTTGTTCATGAATAGGATAAAAAGTAGTATGCACTAAGTATAACAAATGAAACATCGTAAATAAGGGATTTTTCAAATTTATTGATACAAAATTAAAAGCAAACATTATTACAGCATAATGTTATATGCTATAAATAACATTAACATAACTAAATACCTAGAGATATACTTATCATTTGTATTAATAAACATTTTAATTAATAATAGCTAAATCCCACAGTAAAACATAACAAAATTGGGAGCAAACCTTAATAATTTATAAAATCCAATGAAATATCCAATGATCATTCACAGTCTTAACGAAAGGCCTTTCTATGACAGTGCAAATTAGCCAAACTACAACACACATATTAGCTTATATTAAAAAGAATATGGAGCTATCTCTAAGTTGTACCCTTAAGTTTTTAACAGACCAACCCAAATTTATGAGTTATAAAAACGCTGAGTAACTCTCTCAATGGTCTAACTTCATTAACTACTTACATCTAGTGCTATAAAATTCAAATATATACAGAAATATACGGCAAAATAAAAATGTACCAATTTTGTTTTATTTTAACATATATTTATTTAAATTATTGCCTTCTGCAGATCTTTTAATTATGAGTATGTTTGGAGGACAGAAATGTAAGTTTTTGAACAAGAGATGAGATACAGATGTCTTAATATTTCCACAAATTATAGGACTATAAATATTTAAATTATATATATATTTGTTAACATTACAAATAAATTTTTGCAAAGAAAATTAGGAATAATATATCCTTTTCCACTGGGTTTAAAGAAATCAGTAAAATGCAATATAATAGACAAGATATTTCTTAAGCAATTTCTAATTCAAAATAGTTAAACCAAACACATTTAAAATGCAAGGTAGGTCATAAAATGTAAATTGAATATCATAATTAGCTAATTAAGAGTGTCTTTATCAATCCTGTACATTTTTACATAATGTTACAAGTACTGAAGTAATAATAGCTTATGATAAAAATAATTATTGTATCAACTTGATATAAAATAGTGGGACACTTAATGTATTGCTATATATGGAGTTTGCATATGAATGTCTAACAAGCACAGTTGTCTCCATCCCTGTTGCGATTGTTATCATTGGCATTCAGTTTAATTTGATCTGGAAACTCATTATACAGTTCTGCCTCTGTTTCCTGTGCCAATGCATTACGAGCAATGGTTTGGAATGCTAATTCTACATTGACAGCTTCTTTGGCACTGGTTTCAAAATAGGGTATATCATTTTTACTCTGACACCACTGCTGAGCACGTTTTGCAGAAACGGCACGATTATCCAAATCCACTTTATTACCTAGGATGACAAACGGGAAGTGGTCAGGGTCACGAGGCGATGCTTGTATCAAGAACTCATCTCGCCAGCTCTCCAAGGACTTGAACGTGTTAGGGGCCGTTACGTCAAACACTAATACGCAGCAATCCGCACCACGGTAGAAGGCCACCCCCAAAGATTGAAAACGCTCTTGACCAGCTGTATCCCAAATTTGCATTGTGACAATCCTATCATCAACAATTACCTCCTTCGTGAGAAAATCTGCGCCTATGGTAGCCTTGTACTGATTGGAAAATTTCTTGTTGACAAACTGATTCATAAGCGAAGTTTTGCCAACCCCACTATCGCCTAGAATTATTACCTTTAGAAGGACCTTTTTTCTCGAAGACATAGTGCACAAAAATTTTCACAAGTTGTTGTAAAACAAAAATTACTACTCTCTTTGTCTGTAATAAAAACTGAAGGTAGAAAATTACTTTTGACACACTTCACCACAAAATATGCGTCATCTGATTTAGGTATACTACCACAGATAAAAGAGATTTGGCAAAGTCGACTATCACAATGAAATAGAGAGTTCGTTCGAGTGCTGTTTACCAGTCAATATGGGTTTATTCTAAAAACTACCTTCCACTTTTTATTTCTTTAGTATTATTATTCGAAAATCCTTGAACTGTTGTAGACATATCTAGCCTAGCAAGTTAAAATATTGCACAGATTATACCTTTCAGTGTTATTTAGTGGAGTATCTAATATTTTATCTGTGGATAACACAGGTTTTGAACTTTTGACTGCTCTAGTTTATAATTTATATAAGCTGTGAGTTCAGCATTTGATTCTTTGATTTGAGGTTTCCGAATTCTAATTTCCGTAGATTTCCGTGTTTCTTGAAATCCAATATTGTTCCATTTATTTATTTTTTAATAAAATCTAATAACTAGGTACATATCTAACAACAAATCCTGCAACTACTATTGTTTACATGATGTACTAGAATTTTTTAAGTTTGTTAACTGTTCATTCACAAAAAAGTAAAAGGGAGGTGAGGTCAATCAGAATCGTGGTTTGTATTTAATTATTTTCCGTTAATTAAAAGAAATTGTTTCACATGTCTTCTTATATTACAGAATGGAGAACAATTTGAGTCGCAGTGGTAGTCGGTCAAGCTCAGTATGCGAACTCGAAAAGGATATCAGTGATATGGAAATAATCAAATCTAGGACGAATCGACGGAGTGTATTTGTTCGAACACAACCAGCACGAAAAGCAAAAAGGATAAGATTTTTTCGAAATGGTGACAAATTCTATTCTGGAGTAATAATACCAGTCTTGCCAGAAAGATATAGGTGAGTTGAATAGGAAATAGATTAAGTCTCAAATACTTTCACTCAGTTTGCCACAGTTATGAACAAACAAACCAACACAAATCAATAAAAGTATTTAGTAGTAAGTAAGTATACCTAGGCTACAATTAAGATTTTTTTTCAGATCTTTCGATAGTTTGACAGCAGACCTAACTAGAGTTTTAGTTGACAACGTCACTTTACCCAGTGGAGTTAGAACTATATATTCACTAGAAGGTAGAAAAGTAAGTTTTAAAACCTCTGGTTATATCTATATAAAGGGGTTTTCTTGAAGAGTATAATTTTTTTGTAATATTTATAGATAGGAAAACTTGATGACCTGGAAGATGGTCAGTCATATGTCTGCAGTGGATTTGGAGAACCTTTCAAACGGTTAGATTATGAAGCAAGTGCAGTGACCCCACAATCATTTAGATTAAGTGGACCTGAGTCTCTTAGTGACAGTGCCAGTCCATCCCCAGCACGAGCAAATAATCGATTATCTAAATACCTGCAGGTAAACTGGTCTAACAATGATGCAAACACAATTAGCTCAATTAAAATACTTGTTAGTTAACACATTCATAAGGTTGTTGAACCAGTAATATGGATTAATATATAGCCAAACTAGTTGAGGAGCACAATATCTAATATATATGCTTGAAAAATTTGGTTACTTTAGGATTGGGTTATTCAACCAAATATCAAAGGGCAAAAGTTATTTAACCACTTCTTCAGCTCAATAAATTGTATGTATATGCGGTATATGTTTAAAGGTGAGCTGTGTTTGGGTTTGAAAACCAGGGCAAACGAAATCATAGTTTAAACTTAGATACTATACTGCTTGTACAGCACTTTAACTTCTAGATTACACTTAAATTAAAACAAGCAATACCAAAAAAATAATTCAAAAATGAAATAAACAAAATTATTTACACACAAATATTGTATATACCAGGTAAAAAATGCACAAATACACTTACAAATTAGTATATAAATGTTTAAAAACAGATGTTTTTTGTACCATGCACTCGGTACATGAGCATTGATGATTTTAGACAAATGGGAGCACCACAACTGGAAATGGATCTCCGAGAGTTAGTCCTCCTGGTGATAATGTTGTTCGGCCACGAATTGTTACAATTATTAGGAATGGTGTTAAACCCCGCAAGGTAATTATTGCACTATACATATCATACTGTCATTGACATTACTGACACTAGTCAAGTATTAAGCTTTGTTCAATTTATTTAACCCCATGGTCCTGCTTCATGATTAAACATACTTTATTCTCATTAACAAGAATTCAAATACATATATGTATAGTCTATTGCCATTGGATATTTTTAATTTTTGAAGATTATTCTGAGCTTCGCACAAATATATTTGATGCATTTTTTTATTAAGAAGTTTAATTTTTCTTATTTTAAATGGTAATATTACACAGTCTTATAGTTTATAGATTTCTTTGAATAGTTTGTAAAAAGCTTTTTATTACACACTTAATAATAAAGTTACTATTACTACTTCAGTGAAACCATTACAAAAATATGTCTGTCCTGTCAGAACTTAATGCACAACATAAACAAGGTATTTTATATTTAGAAGTGTTTTTAAGTAACGTTTTTTAATACAGGTATGCAGATTGCTATTGAATAAACGCAATAGTCCAACTCTGGAGCATGCCTTAGCAGCAATTACTGAATGCATCAAACTTGACACAGGCTGTGTGAGAAAAGTGTTCACACAGTCTGGAACCTCTGTCACTGCACTGCATCAGTTCTTTGACGAAGATGATGTATTCTTTGCATATGGAAATGAAAGGTACTAAATTATATTAAACTAATATTATAAATTCAACATGATTTTTGTTATGCTTTAAGCCATTTAGTTACATTTTTGATTTTATTTTGTAACCAGAAACAGATACACACAGACAGATAGCCGATAGGATGTTATTATATTTATTAATCCCGACACGGGAGACGCGTTATAAATATGGATTAATAATGACGTTTTTGTAAATTTTGGTAATCTATATATTTTTAATGATTTCAAATTTTTGCTCATAAAAGAACGAAGTCGCAGTATAAAGACAAAATATTATGTTAAGTCATTTCAGGTGTATTTTGTCCTTGTTCGTTTTTCCTCATAAGAAAATGTTATTTCAGAGTTAATCAAGAAGATTTCGAATTGGAATTTGAAGAGAGCAAAGCTGTTTTACAATGTCGAAAGACTCCGATCACGAGAAATTCGAGGTACATATGTATAAAAAATCCAATAAATAAAATACATATTATTTATAAAATTTTTAGTAATTTTTACAAAATTATTCTTTCGCCTCTTTCTGTCAAATTGTTTATATGATGACAAATTCAAATATTTAGTTAGAAATTAACACCTTTTTACATACTATATAAGCCTATATCGCTGTTGTGGTTTAATTGTCTGAGGCCCTTGGTTCGATATTCGTAGCCGTCTTCTTACTATGCAGAAAACAATTTTTTTTAGGATACGAACCTACATATTTTATGAAAAAAAAAGATGAATATATAAAACAATTGTATGTAGTTGTTATACATAAGCTATTTACATACTTATGTTTGTATGTAACAATTTCCTAACTATTACATTATATATTGAAACCACTATACAAATCTGCAATATCGCTAAAAACCTACATATATCTGCAAGATAAATTATAGTAGTTAGGTTTAACTGACCTACTATTGTATTGATCAAATCGTTATCAACAAATGGTGAAACGGATAATTCAGTATTATCTGATTTTTATCTGTATTTTCCTGTATTGTGGTTTTCCCATTGACGTTATATTTACAAGTATACTCATAATACGGCGTCTACTTACATTAATAAATAGAAGGAAAGTTATTTTTTAACAACAATTTAATACATTTTTTGGAAATCTTTTAGTATAGCAATGTAAAGAGGCAAAGTAATTTCTATAGTTATATTTATTGCATTGTAAGCCTTTGTGATTTAGTTAGTTAATTTATTAAACGCGTTTTAAAAACTTTGAGGTTCTTTTCTCAGTTAAAAAATAACTGTTTTGGTTTTGAAGCTACAGCCAAATTCGTAATTGTGTAAGGCGATGGTGATAATTGATTACGGACTGTCGAAATTACATTAATTTGGTTGCAGATTGATATGATAAAACCTAAAAGCTTAGATTAATAGACTGTAACACATAAACCAGTTGCCCGTTTACCAAACAAACTCTTCAGCCTTATAATTCTATTATACAGATCGGGGCCAAAGCCCCGAATGCCAGTTAAGGCAAGCGGTGCGGCGCGTAAAGAGAATGAAACGACGGGTGGATCTGGTGACAGCGAGCAAACTCAACTCGCCAACTTACTCCCACAGCCTCTACGCCTTAAGTACAATGTTGGAAAGATTATAGGTAAAACAAAACATCTCGAAAATTTGTCAGCGTAGAAAATGTACAAATAAGCCTTTTCTGGATCTATGACTATCACCATGACCTATTTTCCATAAAAAGTATTCGAGAAGTATATATACATATAATCACGTTTTTTTTAGGTGACGGCAACTTTGCAGTTGTAAGAATATGTACAGATAAAACGACTGGCAAAGATTATGCCCTCAAAGTCATTGATAAGGCTAAGTGCAAAGGAAAAGAACATTATGTAGAGGCAGAGGTAAGTTTTATACTTTCTTACTTTTTAATTTTTGCTATTAAGAAGAATCATCAAAGAATTCTTGTAAAAATCTCTATGTATGTATTTGTTTTTTTTTGTCTAATGTGTTTAATCCATTTAATTTAATGTTTAGTTAACTACTTTATTATTTTTTTGTAAAAAAATTTGTCATGTTTCCATATGGACACGTTTTCTCATTGTTAATTAAAATATTTATTACGATACGAGACTAGTTAAATCTTTATATAACCCCCCTGTGAATTATTTTGCAAAATATACTTTAGTGAAAGTTTTAACCTTTTAATATATTTTTTAGGTACGAGTCATGAGAAAGCTGTGCCATCCTCGCATCGTATCTCTTATTGAGGAGCAAGACAGCCCCGAATGGCTATTTCTTATTATGGAGTTAGTTAGTGGTATGTTATGATATATTCTATTTATAAGCTTTGATTGAGCCCAATACATAAGTTTTTAAGTCATCATACTAATTTTAAAATATATTCATTCTTTATTTATTTTAGCCATTTTCCCCTTTGTGTCTTATACTTCATAATACCATAACAATTAATAGCTTGAATCAGTTTGATGGTCTACAGGGAGCGTTCAAGTATTACGTAACGAATTTGGGGGGGTCCTTTTGTATAACGTTACGATGCGGGGCGGGGATTGAATTACGCGTTATTGTTAATATTATTTTCGACTTTTAGTACTTTACACCACATAATGGTAACTTTTAGGTATAAAGAGTCACTAGGTGTTCACGAAACGTTTTACTATACTTGGGTACAGAAAAACGTTACGGCGCGCTACATGAAGCTTTGGCAATTAAAGACATCCTTGGCAATCAATTATACCATATATTTTACGACCTGTGGAAACTATTTAAATAATTTAAAAAAATTGCTGCCTTTATTTTCTTTGATTAATTACTCAATATGATACTTATATAATAATGATACACTTATATATACAGTAGTTTTGGGCTATAGAACATAGTAAGACGGAAATCTTTCAGCGTGACATTCTGACTGATTTTCCATATGAAATAAAAGGATTAGAAAATATAAATTAAAAAGTTTTTAGAATTCATCTTTTAAACAAGCGAAATAACACACTAGGTACAAATAGTACAATTAGTCATAGGGTAATTAAGTGCTTATCAAGGGTGATGCTCATAATCTATTTAACGGAGAAACTCAAAACTACTGGGCAGATTTAAGGTTAAATGTCCACCATTAGAATGCTACTTTATCTCTGAGTAATGTAGGCTTTATTTCCAAGGCAGTGTTGGCCTAGTGGCATAGTCGTGCAATAATTCCTGAATTCGTGCGTTCTTATCACGGGTGTGCACCAATGGAGTTTTTTTAACTATAGGGTGTCTCAGTAAGAGTGCACTTTTTAAAATTGTAATATTTTTGTTTACCTGCAAGTGACGACTCTGAAATTTGACAGGTGTCACCTCTGTTTATTCCGATTATTAAAAAGTGGTGCGCTTTTTGAAAGAACAACAAGTTATAATTGTGAAAACTCATTACAAAAGTAACGATGAAAACGCTCGCAAACTTCACCAAATTTTCAGCCGAGAAAGTGCACCTAATGTGTCAACCATTCGAAGAGCGGTCAAAAAATTTTAAGAAACTGGGTTAATTATGTATAATAAGAACTTTGGTCAGACCGGTTGTCCCTTGAAAACATTGGTGACTGCTGTAAACGAGAGTGCGCCGAATACCCGAAAACATAATTGACGCAGCAAATTTTGACTAAAGACCTTATGCACAGATTGTACAGATTCACTTAACTCAGAAGCTCAAACCAGCAGGCCAAGGAAAGACCGGCAATTTTCTCAATGAGTAATGGAGAAAGGGAAGTCGATGCCAATTTTTCGAAAAAGTCATTTTCTCGATGAACAGAACACATTATCTCACGAAATTCTGATGTCAACTGGCCACCAAGATGTGGATTAACGCCGGGTTTTTGTTTGGGGTTTTGTGAAATTGAGTTTATGCGAATAAACCCGAAAGCATTCCTGAGCTCAAATCGGAAATCCAACGCGTCATCGGTGAGATACAGCCACATCTCTGTGCAAAAGTCATGGAAAATTTCATGAAAAGTGTAATGGCCTGTCATCGGAGCCGTGGAGGTTATTTGCCGGAATTTTATTCCATACTTAATCGGAACATGTCTTCTTTACAATGCAATAAAAATATCAGAACTCTGTCATAAAATACTTGTCTTTATTTAAAAATGAAAAAGTGCACTCTTATGAGACACCCTATATAACCACTTGCTGCTACTATAAAGGCTAGGGCCTAAACCTAGCATGTCACGTGTCAGACACTGATCACCTAATTGTTTAGTAATAAAATTGTCACTGGATTATTATGATTTATTTAAAAAATATTAAATAATGTCCAACCGGTAAAAGAATAAATATTTGTAGGCTTCTAAGTCATGTGAATGTTTTAGGTGGAGACCTCTTCGATAGTATAGCGGCTGCCTCCAAATTTTCCGAACCTCAGTCGCGTTTACTAATCGGTCATCTAACATCCGCTATCGCATATCTGCATTCGCTTTCCATTGTGCATCGAGACATCAAACCCGAGAATCTCTTGGTAAGATAATTCATTAATTACATTATTTACCAATTCATGTAAAATAACATTTTGCAATTGTAATATTAATTTTCCATTCACTTTTAATGTTATAACACTAATCAGTTTTCAGTTTCCTACCCAAATGGGGCATAGGCCAGACACATTTAAGTCTAAGTTTAGTTTTTTAATGGGAAGTACGTTCTTGTTTCTGTGCCTATAAATTTAGAAGCCTTAACTCTTTACAATAGATTTTCAAGTACATATTTGTGTAATAAGGTACAATCCGATAATGTTAGTTATTCGGACGCTGTTACTTCCGTTCAAATCAATCTCGAAAATAATTATTAGACCGCTGCGAAAGTTTTCCATACAAAATTCTCTTACATTAGTTACGTATCGTTCGTGGGTTACGTATCGTACGATAGTTACGTATCAGCGCTGGTTTTCTGTATCTACCAATAGTTTTACGTATTGTATGTAATTTCCATGTTGCCCCTTAATATTCGTTGCGCTGATGGCGCTTGGATCGTGCGGTAAAAAACCCAACATTTAATTTCTATTGGGAGTTACAGAGTACCTACCATATGCGTTAATCACATACGTGGTTATACTGGTTTGCTGTACTTTAGGGTGTCGAATATTTTGTTAGCAAATAATTGAGGAAAATAGTTAAGATTAACTACGGTGAAAACTTTATAAAAAATGCGCATTTAGCAACGAACGGCGCATTTTCTGCCCTGCGCATTGTACGGAACAAGGCATATGAACCAAAGTGGAGTGATTACGACGTAATCAAAGGAAGTAAAAAAAATAATTAATTAAAATTAATTAATCTTAGGGAGTTTGACGTCGCATGAAGTTTACACTGTATTTGGAAGTAGCAATTGTAAGTCAAATGTTTAATTAGGTGGAAGTAGGTCCAGATGGCAGTGTTCGAGGCCTGAAGCTGGCTGACTTCGGTCTAGCAGTGGAGGTGTGGCATCCACTGCAAGCTGTCTGCGGGACGCCTACTTACGTCGCGCCGGAGATCTTACTAGAAACTGGTTATGGACTTAAGGCAAGTAGAACATATTGAAAAATACCAAGATAAATAGCTAAGCTAGAAATACATTTAATTTAGTGTTAATTAGAATTAAACGCGTTTTAATCCTGCCTAATTATTCTTATTTTTATAATTGTCAGATTTTCTAATGGATAGACCATTATGATATTTTTTTGTTGACGTTTTGAGTTTATTGACGGCCAGCTTTAGGTAACTAAAAAAATTACTCTTGTGTTATATTCACCTCTACGGTCCTTTGCCTTAAAGTTCAACATTTGTTTTGTAAATATTTTTATTAGACGCTTACTACTAGTTATTTTCGATCTACGAACTTATTGCTTGAGGAAATAGAAAAGACCAATGGTATTTTCGATTTAGAGTTGAGAATTGCACTTTTTCCACTGTTTATATTCAACAGTACTTTATAAAGAGTTTATTTGTATAAAGTTCGCTTTTTTATACTTTTAGATCGACGTGTGGGCAGCGGGTGTAATCCTATACATATTGTTATGCGGTTTTCCACCATTCTCGTCCCCGGATGGCGACCAAGAAAAGCTTTTCGATGCTATACTATCCGCTCGCCTCGAGTTCCCTGCACCTCATTGGGAGAGGGTTTCCGCTGGGGCCATTGACCTCGTCGCGAATATGTTGCGGCCTCAACCTGAATTGCGCTTTGCCGCTGAAGATGTGCTAGATCATGCTTGGATGTCGGTATGTATTAAGTACAAAACTTTGTTATTTATTTAAATTTTGGCCATAGAAAATTGTGATAACGTTTCATACAGAATTTTTACCTTAAATATTTTGATATGATGGTTTCTTAAGATTATATTAAATTTTATTTTTTGTAATTACTAGTAAAAATTTCCATGTTGAATTTGACTGCTAACGTTAACTAACACGCAGTTCAGGCTGTATATGAATAAATAAAATTGTTAATTACAGGAGGACTACGACGAAATGTGTGGTCTCCACACTTGGTACGATGAAGACTCCTCATAGCTACACACTGACGCTGTAGCTGCTACATGACGGCTTTACTCAGCTTAGCGCGAGCGCGCTATCATTATCCTTGGGCTAATTCCAATATTTAATTAAGCATACGGAACTATTTAGATGACTCCGTAGATCGGTACATGTTTTGAAATGAAGAAAGTGGGGTCTGAGCCACATTTTTAAAATGAATTTTCTGAAATGGAAGCATATATGTTACATGAGAAGAAAGCCACAGATTGGAATTTCATTTATTAATGTTTACGTCATAGAAGAATTCGTTATTTACCTGGAATTAGCCCCGAGTGGATGTTAAACTGAGTAGGAAATTAATCGGCTGTATTTCCTTTACAGTAAAAACTGCTTTATAATATAACACCATAAATACCAAAGTATACTTAAAGTACCAGTGACACTGTGCTTGTGTTCAATTAAAAAAAATGTATTTCAATCAATTTTAGTGCGGCAGTGTCTTTTATATTGACTGTTCCATAGATGCAATTGTAAGTGATCATCAAATGAACTTTTTTATTTATTTTCTTAATGTAGTTTCTTTTCCATAGTAAGTATTTATGTGGCTGTACCAGTTTCATTAGTATTATTTAGCTTTACAGCTTCTTAAAGGGGCTTGAGTAGGAAAACTTTTAAAGTATGTATTAATACATCCCATTGTGCAAACATGAGCTATTTTCAACCCAATTTTTGTCAAATTTACAAATTTTGTGGAGAAAGTTTTCTTTCATTCCCCTTCACTGCATTTAAGTGACAAAAGGCGTTTTGTTCCTAAAGTTATTAATGAATTGGCACTTCAAGTTTAGTTATCTCAGACTTGAGTTAAACATTTAAAACAATGTTAATTAATTCAAACTTGGTGCATATTTCTACAATTTTCATCTGAAAATAGGTTAAATTATATCTTATGTTACTTGATTAAATAGTTAATATATGTTCTTTATAAATAAACACCTTTAAAATAATTTATTGCACATGCTTAGTTGAAGGTACAATATTTGCTAGATTAATAGATTTTTTACACATCTCAATAGATTTTCAAATATAATGCTCAAAAATTAAGTGCAATAGGCATTGTACTGGTGCCAAAAATTATTGCGATTGGTTATCTCCATTGTCATTATCGAACTTAAATATTTCCTGTGAAAACATCATGCAACTTGTAGCACATTCCAAACTAAATATAGTACTGTTACTAATTAGATGACAATAAATGTAGTTTCAGATTAACTGACAGGGCATCCCTAGCTAGGAATAATACTTTTGTTAATTTTATGGAAATAATTTTTATAAATTCATACAGTAAGATTCATTTCACATCAATTCAGGTCACTCATTGAAAATAATTTGCTTAAAATAAATTATTTATTAAAATTTAAGTATTTTATTTAATGACCCTATTTTGCAGTGTTGCAAATAACATCTGTTATTGGTTGTATATAAAGCTACCACGATATCAGTTATTAAAAGATAGTTTTTTTGAGGTCAAATTTATATTATTTTCAATTATATAAATAACATAATATCACTTTAGTATATACCCTGTTAATAAAAACCCACTTGATCCATTCATTAATACTTCTGGGTGTGTTCTTTCAGGTAAAATCTAAAAAAAAATAGTAAATTTGAAGGACAATCAATGAAATTTATATATGCACTTTAGGCACATGTCTTTTATAGTTTAAATTTTTTTTAAATTTATATTTACCTGATAGTTTCTCATCCAACTGCAAGTAAGTCTTAAAGCTGCTACATTACTTTGAGATTTAAGAGTAACATACAAGTTTTGTAATGGTTCTGCAACAGGGTAATAAACAACAAATGGTCTACCAGGTTTAACAAATTTTGATAATTCCATAAATATATTTTGAGGATCCTCCTTGCAAGCTATAACAAGTGAGTCCATTTTATTTGATATAATGTTTGATGCTTCTATGTTGTCAAAATGCCATTTTGGCTTTTTTGGTTCTTGTGTATACCTATTTTCTGTTTTTTCAATGTCTAGGCTCTGTGTTTCAGAAATTTTAGAAACCTTTGCACAATCTTCAGGTAATGATTCACCTTTTCTTTTTAAACTATTACTTTTTGCAACTTCAAAAATTTTCTCTGATGAATTTGTATCACAGCCCTGATAATATTGCCTCAGTGCAGAATATACATTAACAGAAACACATTTGTTGTAATGCTCCAGACTGTAATTCATAGCTAACAAAGCTTGTTTTTGGGACATATTGCCTGGGTGCATGTGAACTAATCTTCCAGTGTTACTATCTCCTATGGCATTTAACAAAGCAGCAGCAAGTAGTCCATTTGACCCTGAGTCATAAAGCAAGTGATTACCTTCACAACATAGATTGGCCATTGTAACAATTTGAGATAATGTATCAATGCGAATTCCTTGTACTTTTGTTGGTTCTAGTTTATATAAAATTTCCGATATTATTCTTAAATTTGGTTTTAGAATTTGGATATATTCAAAATATTTTTTTTCCTTTTTTTTCAAATACTTATCCTGCGAGAATTCTGTCTTATTATGAAAAGTATTTGAATTAGTTATAAGTGTTTCAACAATGTCTGCAGCTTTAGATGAATCACTTTTCAAGTCATAGATTTCGTCTGCTGTTAATTTTTGAGATCTGCCATCGTCGTATATATTTCTATTATCAGAACCAGAAGATTTAATGCCAATCTCGTCTTTAAGGCATGCTGTTTCTTCCACCAATTCTAAATCATATTCCCTACTTCTTTTTTTGCCTTTGGCTACCATTTTAAATATTGAAAAATAGTTGCATCCTTCAATAGCGCTTAAGCTAACGGAATCTTTTCCAACACTTATTCGTGAATCAGCTTTATTAAATTTATAAAGCTTTTTGTAATTATGTTTTTGCACAACAATATACTCACCAACTTTAATGACGTTATTTGACATTTTAAAGTATAGTTAGTATTTATTTAAAACACGGTTAGCACCTTTATCTAAAAGAGGTTCAATCGCCAGAGGTAAATAAAATATTTAAAAGTTGAATTAAATAAGACAAATAAAAATAGAGGTTATGTTTTCAACACACGAATACAGCTGACAAAGACAGCATATAAAATTACTTTGTCGGCTGTCTACACTCTACTGTCATCTGATTTTTCATAAAGTGTGAACCTGTCATAATATTATGTCTGCGTGGATATCTGTCATTTATTTTTGCACTTTAAAGACATCACAAAGTAGCAGTGATGCCAACTTGGGGGGTTTCCCCCCAAATTTAGGGGTAATCAATAGATGTCCAGGGTTTTTTTAGGGGGTACATTTATTTAGGGGATTTTTAGGGAGTACTTTATTCAAGATTTGTTTTCTCTACAAACACACGATTCTATACAATTTATATTAAGCTTCGAACGCAATCAACAAACTAAACCAAATATAAACCCCAAGCTACAGTTTAAATATAGAAAAACAATAATTTCATGTGTCAAATTTGTTCCTTCTGACCGTATGATCAAATCATTTAACGTCAATATGTACGATTTTAAAAATATCAGCAACAGTAAAACGCAGTGCGATATCCAGACCGATGCCTTCGACGAAGTATTAGAAGCTTATCCCAATGACATTTAATAATATTGTGTTAGAAGGAAAAAAAGGAGACATTGAAGCAATTCGTTTTTTATTTTAATTCTGTCTCGTTTGACTGTAACAGAACAGATAAAAAAGAAAAGTACAAAAAGGTTTACAAATAATGTATGAAAAGAAAATGACGAAAATGCAAAAAAAAATCTGCCAAGAAACTGAACAAGAAAGATTGTCTGTTAAGAAAAATTGAATTCGAAGATAAAAAAGTTAAAAAATAAAAAATAAGAATCGTTTCATCTCATTGTTATTATCATTAATATTAACATATATAAATATGTAAAATGTACTCACATAAATACAACAGCTATTTTTTACTACTTCAACGTATTTTTTAATTCATATTTAAAATTACCTCTCAAACCAAGTGTACAACAAAAACTAGGGTTTTATGATGTTTTGATGGGGTATTTGAAGTTGGTCCTAGGGGGAACATTTTGAAGGAGTTGGCATCACTGCAAAATAGAGTTAATTAATTTTTTTATTGTAAGGTGGCTTACACGAGGGAATAATTGCTCGGCACAAATGGACATCTGGAGCAATTAATAACAATTTCAAAAAATTCAATAAATTTCAATAAATTATTTCGGCGATATTTTCTAATTCTCCAATATTTCATATCGCTCAATTCAGATAAATTGAGAATATAATGATTGGAAATTCCTAGAATTTTGTATATGTCTATTCGACTTGTTTGTTTTGTTAAACCAAACAAGTGGAATTAGCCAGCCTTAACCTTAAAGGTGCGCTTAACGGCAACTAAAATTGGATTTCAGTATTGTTATGGAGAATTCTTCTTGTGAAGTAGTTGTAGGCTTTTTTATTATTAATCAAAAACAAAAAAGAAAGAAAAGGAAAAGGGTTGGTGGTCAAATTTGATGTTTTTGAAAAGAATTTTATTTAAAATAAAATTAAAAATTAAAAAAAAAATAATTAATTAATAAAAATTTTAATTTATTATTTTTAATTTTTTAATTTTAATTTAATTTTTAGAATTAGATAATATATTATTCAAAAACTTTACTAGAATGTCACGAACAGACTTTGAATTACTTTTGAATAAAGTAATTAGAAATTATTATTATTTAGACCTCTCGCTTTCCCCGCGGAAGCAAGACGGCAAGCCGCAAAACAAACAAGTGCGAATGAGACATATACAAAAATTGCTAGGAATTTCCAAGTCCATTGGATATTCGTCAATTCGTATCTGCGACATTGAGCGATATGAAATATCTGGAGCAATTAGAAGCAATATCGCCGAAATAATTTATTGAAATTTATTGAATTTTTTGAAATTGCTCCATTAATTGCTCCAGATCGGTCCATTCGTGTCGCCGAGCAATTATTGCCCTCGTGTAAGCGCACCTTTAGTTTCACCGGTGATCACGCTGTGGTTAAATTTATAATCAAAAGGTCCAAAAGTACGCGCCGTACGAATCAGACGATAGACAGGTTGGTTGACAAAAACAATAGTTTGCTTTCTGCCCTAAAATCTAGAACATGCCCAGTAGCAACATAAACATTAATAAATTAAAGTTAAAAATATACGATTATTGTGAAATTTGTTATAGAAAGTTGTAAAATCGTAAAATAAAGTAAACCACGTAAACTTGCATTCTATATCTGATATTATGTGTTTTTAGAGTTGTTACTAATAAAGCTTTCGATTCATAAATTCTATTTTAATATTAATAGGTACGAAGTGCATTATGGCTGCATTAAAGAACACCAAGAATTTAAGGGTATTTAAAATCTTAGCTACAAGATACTCCCCACAAGTTAAATCAACAAGAAATTTAAATCTTCAAGAGTATCATAGTAAAGATTTATTAAAAAAATATCATGTGTCTATTCAGAACTTTCGGCTAATAGACTCTAGTCTGGATCCTAAACCATTGTCAGATTTTAAAGCCAATGAATATGTTGTTAAAGCACAAATTTTAGCTGGTGGCCGTGGTAAAGGACATTTTGATAATGGGTTCAAAGGTGGAGTTCACTTTACTAAAGACCCACTACAAATTATTTCTTTAGCAAAACATATGATTGGTCATAAGTTAATTACAAAACAAACTCCAAAGGAAGGTATTTTGGTTGATAAAGTAATGGTTGCTGAAAGTGTTAACATTAAACGGGAAACCTATCTGAGTATTGTCATGGAAAGAAGTTATAATGGAGCAGCATTAGTGGCTTCACCAGCTGGTGGTATGGATATAGAGGCTGTAGCAGAAGAAACCCCTCATTTATTAAAAACAATACCAGTAGATATTTATGAAGGTGTAACAGATGCAATGGCAAAAGAGTTAGCAGAGTTTATGGAATTCAAAGGAGTAATGGTTAATAAGTGTGCAGAAGAAATCAAGAAACTGTGGCAGCTTTTCCTTAAGGTAATCTACATATTTTATTTTCAAAAACCTAAAACTGACATGAAAAATGATAAATAAATTATTATACATTTAAATTAATTACCGTACATAAATTGTCATTAATGCTTGGAACAGAGTAGGGTCAAGAAGATGTTAAAGACACCTTTAAAAAGACACTACACATAAAATTTTACCCCAGTTCTTGCATATTCTTATTACTACTTTTGAGTGTAGTGATAACTTTTATATATATGTATTTTAGGTAGATGCAACACAATTGGAAATTAATCCTTTAGTAGAAACTGATGATGGTCGGGTTGTTGCAGTTGATGCTAAAATTAACTTTGATGATAATGCACAATTTAGACAAAAAGATATATTTGCCCTTGATGATGTATCTGGAGTGGACCCTAGAGAAGTAAGTATTGATAACTTGTCTATCACTTTATAATAAGGACCACCTGCAGTTATGTTTAGATGATCATAGATTGTCTTGCTGGCTGTGTCTAAATGCTACCTATGCTAAGCGATATCTAAAGTTTAAAAACTTCCAAGAGTGGTATAAAGAACTCAAAGTTAGGAAATGTGAGATCATGTCTTAATCTGTTTTTAATAGTTTAATCATATTCAGATATCACCAATTATCAGTTCAAAGTCTTCCAAGAAGAATATTTATTAGTGTTGTTTTATATTTATTATAATACTAGTTATATAATAAAATTGATACATACACATTACAATAATTCATACATATAAATATTATCAACTATTATCAATTTTGTAGTGATTCATTATCTTATCTATTGAGTGGCATGACTTGAATGGCAATATTTTTAAAACAATAAATTTGGAACACATACATTTGTTGAATTCTAAAGCAAAGTATCCTTGACTATATATATATATATAGTCAAGTATGACTCTCCTTTCTAAGGATTTTACTACAATGGAAATTTTTATGGTTTAAAGAGCATTATCATCTTATATGTACTTAGGTATATCTATAATAAGAATTGCAACTTTGATGCAGCACACATATTTTTAATTAATTATAACTATTAGACAAACCAAAAATTCTCAGTTCCATGCCCTATTATTTTGCTGGTTATGAGACCTTTCTTTTTAGCCTGTGTGCCTGTGTCTGGCTTCAGACTGCATTTTGAATACCTTTTATAAAAAAACAATTACTACTTAAAATTTACAAGATTATATTTAATCTCTTGCATATGACAAAGCAGTGCAATGTATTTGTAGTATTCGCTAAACCAAGGAACGTAACTAATTTCTACAAGGCATAATTTCCATAAATTACGTAATATTATGGTAACTCTTTATTGTCCTTACAGGTAGAAGCAACATCATTAAATTTGACATATATTGATATGGATGGAAGTATAGGCTGCATGGTCAATGGAGCTGGTTTAGCAATGGCTACAATGGACCTTATCACGTTAAGTGGTGGAAAACCAGCTAATTTCTTGGACCTTGGAGGAGGAGTAGGTCAATCGCAAGTGTCCGCTGCATTAAGAATATTGGAGTCTGACCCTAAAGTGAAGGCTATATTTGTCAATGTTTTTGCTGGTAAGTAATAATATTTTAATAACTCAAAATGACTTTCAGAACAAGTCCTTAATATAAAAAGAATTTCTCAGCTATTAAGTTTTGCAATATAATTATGAACAATTTACGAAGTATATAATTAGCTGCTTATTAAATTTTGTTCAATTGTTATTATTGTATTGTTATTTAAACATTTGAAGGTTAACAATATTCTTTATCGTATTAAAACGCATTCAATGGTCATAACTACAATCATTTATATTGAATAATTTGTACACTAATAGGGATGCTCGATGATCATCGACGTTGAAAGCAAAAACATCGATGTTGATATACTAAAAATATCGTAACATCGATGTTAACGGAATCGAACATCGTTGTTAATTCACGGCCTCCCGCACGACCAATGCAACTTACGAAACAAAGTATGTCATTTATGAACGCATCCACAAATCAGGTTTATTAAAATTTTGATAGCGTATTCATTCATTGCGCCCCGGACGTTCTCTTCTCTCTCAACAAAGAAATAGATTAAATGGTTCTTCTTTATCAAAATTACTTTTCATTCAGTCAGTTGATAAAAAAATATCGGAATATGTTATAATTTGTTCTATTTATTAATACATTTCGAACTATATTTTACTTCTTTGTCAATTATTAATGCAAAAATCATCGATGTTGGATAACAGCGATGATGGTTTTCGATAAATTTCGAACATGGAAGTTGGGCTTTCGATTATCGTCAATGTCGATGTTTTTCTAATATCGAACATCCCTATACACTATATAAATGTATTCGTAATTAGTGTAAACAAAAGTGACAACAACAAAAAAGCCGTATGAGACGATTTTATAATGTGTCAGTTATAAACGCATTTAATCAATTGTTTATATACAGGTATCGTAAATTGTGCAACGGTTGCAAGTGGTATTGTGGCAGCGTGCAAGCAAAGTCCTCCAAAACACCCGCTTATTATTAGATTGGAGGGTACAAACGCAGCTCAGGCAAAGACAATTCTAGAGCAATCGGGACTCAATATCAACATGGTAAATGACGCCGATGAAGCAGCGAAGTTAGCTGTCAAATTAGCAAATGAACAAAAATAAGTTATAGAATTTTACATTTTAGATAAGCACAAATTTTTGACCGAATTATGTTAATTGTATCTATTTTTACTTTCATGTAAATAAATTTGTTAATTAAAGACAAGACTGAGCTTGTTTTATATGTTTTAATAAACGTTATGTAGTTATTTCTTTTTTAATTCGCACTAAATATTGACTTTATGCAAACTATATCGAAAGTACGAATTTTGCAAAAAAAAAAACTTTTTTCAGACAAATTACATGCTTCTATTATCGAACTCACAATAAAATAAACTACAACCTAAGTCCGTTTGCCGGTCATCCCGACAAAGACCTCGTCCAAATGGTAATTAAAATACTTAAATGTAATTTAAACGAAAAGTGTACATCAGATTAACTAATTGCTTTAATTAGTGGAAAATTATTATGTATTTTTTGTTACATTATACGTTTTTCGGATTTAATAAGTAATTTGTTTTTATCAATGATAGTTAATTTAAAGCATGATTCCCTATGGTATACAAAAACATGACAAACGATAGAATATATTAAAATTATATAGGATCTTCGAAATTACACCATAATTAAAGCTACTTTTGGTAACGCACTCTTGATTATTTTGATTGGAGAAATACATTAGACGAAGAATTTTAAACTATACGTACGTATTACCTACTGCTAGCATATACAACTGCACGTATAGGAAGGCTGGCGGTCTAATAAGACGTGTATCATATAAATTCCAGTAAGAAATGTATAAAGCTATGGCGACTTACAACACTTTTAAGAGGCTATACGAATGAAGTACATAGTTAAATCGTCGATCATAGTAACCGAATGAAATAATTTAGTCTTACCAATAAATATATGTGATATAACTTTAACGATGTGTATAAGGCAAACAAATTCTAGCTAAACCACACAAGATAATAATAATTAAAATATATTAAATTTGTATAAATAGGTGCTTTGCTTTAAATAAAAGAACAGAAAACCGCAAATTAAATTTATTTTAAAATAACTGTTTAAATTAGATAAATGTGCTAATACTATGCACGGAATAAATTTAATCTTCGACCTTGCGAGTCGCTCTTGCTTAAGGCCATATTCGATTGTATTTCTTCGAAGGCCGGCAAATGGCTGAGTTTACCTCTCGCGGCAACAGATGGCCGCTTACTGAGCATACGACGCGCCACACGGACTATATCATCAGCTGTTATTTTTTCTGTAAAAAAAAATTTTATGAAATATTTTACAATAGAGTCTGTGTGAAAGAACCGTCGTGGGATTCGACGTCGCATTGCTAAATAACCTTTTTGTTATTGACAACACTGTTACGTCTTTATAGTTCGATAGTAATCTTGATATTAATTATGAAATTAAGTACATAATTTTTGTGAATAAATCTAGTATGTATTAATGGTTCAATATATATGCATCTTATATTTATTTCAATAGAATGTTGATTACTACACCATATATACCATACATACACCATGTATCGTTTTATAGATTGATTATAATATGTATTATCATAGATAGATTTGATCGGATATAATTGCTTAAAATATACCTACCAATCTCATTGATGAAATATGATGGTGGCTTTCTCTTCCCAGTGGCAAGTACTTGTCTGCCAACGTCTTCAAACACAACGGGTCTAGCCTCGAGATTCATTAACAGCATGGATTGCAATTGAGTTTTGGCCCGCTATGGATAAATATAATTATTAGTTATAACTACAATACTTTCGTTGCTTGATGAGGCACATTATGATAAAATTCGATTCCCAGCAAAACTATTATTTTTTTTGTATATACCATAGACTAATCACTAAGCTTTAACAATATAGGTGAAACAGAGGTAGAAACACTTTTAAACTCATATGATCCATATTGGATGATTGCTTATACGATTACCAATAATTGGAGTTTTAATATAGTCAAAGAGCTCACCCTTAATTCATTTTCGCCCACTTTGCCAGCCATATTGGCCAACTCCCGGGCTATAACCAGCGCCGTGTCGTAAATACGATTCGGCGGTGCCGCAGAATGCACACAGAATAAGCCCGTGTCTCCATATGCGTGGTTGTAAGCGGTCGCGTTGAACATCCAGTGGTATCTACAATTTACGAGTATCAAATATTTTATAATAAGCGTTTATCAAATCAATCAAGCAACAATGTACACGTATGAAAGTTAGTAAAAAATTAATGCTTCGTGCGTGGACTTGGAAAAGACAAGATGAGTATCGTATCAAATTAGGTATGTAAGCCGAAAACAGTGTTTTAAATATTTTTAAATATGCGGCTTTACAAGGATCGTATCGCGTGTCTGTGTCCTACCACATCACAATTTAAGATAAGGCGACAATTATATTTGTAAGAAAACAGGTTATAAATATGAACTGTATGTGTTATTGTAGGAATAAGATTAAGATAATAGTTGTTTGTGTTTTATATAATATGTTAATAATTTCTTGAGATTATTGACACCCCCCATGTAACGCGCCGTAACGTTTTTCTGTACCCAAATATAGTTTGTAACGTTTCATGACCACCTAGTGACTTTATACCTAAAAGTTACCATTATGTGGTCAGTGGTGTAAAGTACTGGAAAGTCGAAAATAATATTAACAAATTCAATCCCCGCCCTCATCGTAATATTTTACAAAAGAACCCCCTCCGAAATTCGTTACGTAATACTTGAACGCTCCCAAACTAGATTTTATACAGAGATGACCTGTTTTGAATCAGATATATCCCGTAATAAAATTGACTTAAAAAGTATATACCTAGACAAAGACACAAACTACTACTACAAAGACCTAATAAAAAATACGACACTACAAATGTCATACACAGCTCAATGTATGTTTTTTTTATATAAATTAACTTCTTCATAATTATTTTATTAACACTTTATAGTAAAATAAATCAGATAACGGCATAAATTATTAGGCAATTAGGCGGGCCTTATCGAGATTTTTTATAGGCAAAACTAGAAAGACAATAAACTATGAAAAGTAAAAGAAGTCCGAAACTTTGTTAACAAAATGCATAAGAAACATAATATAAACCTTTACAATTACTTAATTTTAAAAAAATCATAAAAATATTTTAATAACAAAAATCACCATTGGGCTACTTAGATTTTTATCTTTTGAATTTGGGGAGGGTTTCTATTTTTCTCTCCACCAGAGTCTTAAAGTTCTAATATGGGGTCACAAACACAATATATATTACATAAACTAAACCAATAGAACATACCCATTATAAGGGCATTTTAAAGTCTGTTAAAAATAATTAATTAATTGTATACCATACACAAGTTACCTGTTAAGTACATTAGTGTATAGACGTGTGTACATGCCCTTTCCAGGACCACCAGCTGAGAAAGACCCTCCTCCGCCCATCATCATGTTTAGAACACACGTGGCCACGAAATCTGGGTCACCATGAGAACAACCTAAAAGCCAGTGTGACACTTGGTATAGAATATTTTTAATAAAAAGAATGATCAAAACCCTTTAAATACAAAAAATAATAATTCTTGTGTAGTGTTATTACTGAATTTTCATGTAATTTTAGAATTTGTATTCAATTAAAATCTCATCATTCTTTGACAGCTCAAACTAATATACAGTAAGGTTAATCACACGAATTTTTTAAATTTTAATTATTAGTAATTATTATTATTAATTTACTATTAATTACTTAAGATGTCATGTGGAACATGGTGTAATGGTTGCAGCTCCTTACAAACATAGTGTAAAAAAGAAAAAAACTTGGAGATTAAAAAGAGTTTATTGCCAGTTTTTCTCTTCCGTTCTAAGCCCTCGATTTGAGAACTGGCAGTAAATGTAAAATTAGAAGCATTTAATATATATTTCTTTTTTGACATTAATAAGTGTACCTTAAACAATTTTGTTTTTTTTTAAATCCTATTCGTACTATGTGTTTGTACTTCAATTTAGTTCCAAACAGTACCAGAGCACTGCTCAAGTTATGCATATCTATCATAACTATCCTAATAACTTATTACTATGCGATTTTATTAATTATTCGAGATAAGGGTTTGGGTGCTTTCCCGTAAAAATAAATAGTACATTAATTTAAATAATCAATAGTAGAACCACCAATTAGATTGGACTTTCTATTAAGACGACTTAAAACACTTAGATAATTTTTATTATGGTATTTTAAATCAACATGAATGCTAGTGGAGATGATTACAGTTACTTATACTCACTTTCTATACCAATAACTATATGAGCCAATTCTGGCAAGTCTGAGCCAGGATAAAGCGGAATTTCACAGTCTTCCTAAAACATTTAAATTATATTGGAAAATCTCAAATCTTGCAACTGCCTAGTATTCTAATACAATAAATGTCAGATTTATTTAGTGTTTTTAGTCCACCAAGGCAATATTGTGGCCCATTTATTTAACAGCAAGTTACTTTTTCTCCCCAATTATAATATAATTGTTATATTTTATTAAGTTTAACTATAAATAAATAAAGCTAGAACATGATAATATAGGAGAAATAATAGAAAATTGTTGCGATTTTAATTTTAAGATTTATTTTCAGTTTTTGTATAAAGTAGTGAATTCAAATAATAAATTAAAATGATAAAATTTAAAAGAATGGTGGAGAAAGGACACATTTCTGTATTTAAATCTACCATTAGTATTTAAAAAATGGGGTCTATTATACCTGTTCTACTCCTCCAGTGTATTGAGCAATAGATCTATCTATTATGGGTTTAAATTCCTTATCATCAGGGGAATACCAAGTTGGCTTTGAGTCCACAAAGTATTTCTGGACATATTCAACAAATGGCCCATGCTCAACCTGAAATGAAGTGACTTACTATATATATATTATAGAGACATACATTTACCATGTCTCATTTGTGAAATTATGATCAGTAGAGAAGTTATGAAGGAACAAGATATAATTTTTACATACATCAATGGATTAATAAAATTAATTAAGATAACTCATAATCCTAAATAAATATATTTAGCACATATTAGCCTGATACAAAAATGCATATTATGTTTGCAATGATTACAATAAAAAAAATCACATCTTTATGTCTGTATGATAATTGTTGACTCTACTCTTTTATATATAATAAATATCTTTAGAAATACAACATTTTAATGAAGTTTCAAAAAATAATTCAGTTAAATAATTAAAACTATTTTTTTATTTTGACAGGTTTGAATTGATTAACTTACCCCCACAGCAGCTACAACCATTCTGTCAGGTGTGTAATGGTTTTTTAGGAAGTTTATAATCACTCCACGGTCTATTTTATTTACATTTTCTTTGGGACAAGTCTTTGGAAGACCAAGTGTGTTTCCTTTGTATGCTGCCTATAAATTAATAATGTGTTTCAGATGATGTTTTCACTAAAATGTTAGCTACAAGTCTGTAGTCTTTATGGTAAATATAACTTATACTTTATTATTGTTTCAGGTTGCTGTCTCATAGCCCTTGAATTGGGCAGATGCAGAGACATTTGAAAGTGTTTAATTAATTTCTGTTTTTGAGCTGATTGCCATTACCTAACACAATTATTATTGGAAACTATTTGCCAGGTTCGATAAAAAATGATTAGCAATGATTTGTTGAACTAAGTATTCTATTAGTAAATTGTATTCAAGAGATATTAATATACCTATTTTACCTTCTACTCTTTTTAAATTGGATATGGATTCAGTGAGTTGTACATCAGAAGAAGCAACATTATGTACAAGTTTTATCAAGGTACACAATTTAAGTAAAACTTACAGAATGTATCATATCCATTAAAATTGTCTCTTGTTCAGGCCTCATTGCCAAGGTTTCTAGTTCAAATGCAACAGCTTGCCGTGCAGCCTCTATTTCTTCTACAGAAAGCTGTGGCCGTAATGTTACTTCCGCCAATACCTTAAAAATTGAATGGTGTTACTTAAGAGGCATTCTAATTATTTTTCAAGAAAAACTAACATATAATATTAAAACTTAAAAGTGTAATATTACAAAATTATTTTTGTTGTTTGTAGAACCATAAGTGCAATATTTTTTCTTACTATTTACTTCTTATGTAAATTATATATGTACATGCTAGATTTTTACTTCTAATTAGTATTCATTCGAATATGGAATTTGCCCAGAAAATGGCCCTTTAAGCCCATCCTTATAAAAATAAATGTTTATAGAACAGATTAATAATTTAACTACCTAACAAAAAATATATTTTATGTACCTGAGTTACTGCTTCTAAGCCTCTTGAATCAGCACTTGTAGCATATACAGTGGTATCTCGGGATCCTTGACAGTCACAAATACCACCATGTCTTTCTAGCTCTCTAAGCATTACATCACGAGTTGGAAACTTATGTGTAGCCTGTAATTAAAATTGATACAATTATATTCGTAATAAAAAAAATATTTATATCTATTGAAATCATATTAATGAATATAATAGTAGTAGTATCTGGTCTTATTATCAATAAATGATGGTTTCAGTTAGTTTAAATCTTATTTAATCATTATTTTTAGAAAGTAAGGTTTTACTACTACTCATAGGATACAAGATAAATAATACTTACTCCAAAACTTAATTTTTCAAGAAAATGAGAAATACCATTTGGATATGCAACCTCATATCTCGGTCCAGAATCAATGACAACTGTAAAATAATTGAAGATTTTAAAATGTAGGTAAAGTGTAACAATTCACAGTAAATTTGATAGGATAATACCTCCCGCTGTACAGAATTGTCCAAATTTCTTTTCTGATGCAACTCTTAATCCATTACTAAGGGTTGTAACTTCTGTTATGGTATCTTCAGATTTTGCTGAAGAATATACCACTGGGGGGAGATTAGGCATTGGTTCCGAGAGTGGAGGTAAAGGTGTGACACTTCCTTTTGGCAGTGGTTTGTCACCCTGGCTAAATTTTTGAACTCCATAGCGCAATGTATTGATACTATAAAAATGTCAATATTTTTAATATGTGTACGCAAAATAATTAATAAAGTGACTGCTATATTTACCTAGCTTTTATAGAAGACAACCTAGAAAACAGTAGTTTTATATCTGTTAAATGCGACATTCTTCAGTTTTTTGGTTTAGTTTGTCATAGATGTTATTTCAATAACTTGTAGGATAACCCAGTATAAATTATTATGATTTCATTGAGCGTTCTTTTATTAAACTAAAAAACTGAAAATCCAAAATTACTATTTCAATGGGATAGTAGAACTTGGAAGATTAATTTTATTTTTATATTCTGTGCTTTGTAATATCGACTTTGACATTTTACTAGAAAACTAGACGTTCATCAACATTCAACAGACTACGTTCTCACGCTTAGAGTTTATATTTAGTTTAGATGTATTGCTTTCCAGTTTCCTCTATAATATGAATTTTGAGATGTAATAGCAACACATAGCTCAGCTTAGCCAACATAATGAACGGAGGAATATACATTTCATACGCAGTATATTCTGTAATTGACAATAATGAAGTTGTAAACGTTTACGATCTGTGGTTGTGAATTTCAATCTGTGTGAAGACTGAAGGTGTTTAGTTTGCACTTTGCAGTGTCTGGTATTTAATATTATCAAAATACCCGATAATTTTTTAAAATAAAAAGAATATATACGGTATATTCAGTGGTATGTTCTAGAACAAATGATGTCTCTCTTATTTACTTTGTTATCTATTAAATAATGTTAAAATATCACATCGTATGTTATACTGAAATAAATTTAAATATAAAATTATATTTGAAATTTTAATTTTGTAACTAGTACCATGAAACCCTGTTTTTCTATTGTTCTGAGGCGATTTTGTTCTCGAAGAACTGTTCCTCAAGTCTGCGTGGTAGGTGCAGGACCAGCTGGTTTCTATGCTGCAATGCATTTATCTAAGAATCTCAGGCCAGTTAAAATCGACTTTATCGAAAAGTTGCCTGTTCCTTTTGGATTAATTAGGTAAGTTAACATGTAATAGTAATAAAGATTATATAGTATATTACTAAAAATTTTAATGTTTGTTATTTCAGGTATGGAGTGGCACCAGATCACCCTGAAGTAAAAAATTGTATTAATCAATTTACTAAATTAGCAAACCAAGAAAATATTAACTTCTATGGAAATATAACATTAGGCAAAGATATAAGTCTGGATAATTTAAGACAACATTATGATGCAGTTTTACTTGTAATAATTGCTTATTTAATTTGATTATTTAAAAATAATATTACATATAATAACAAATTAATTGATTTTAGACATATGGTGCAGAAGAGGATAAAACCTTAGGTATTCAAAATGAAGATGCACAAAATATAATAGCAGCTCGTAATTTTGTTGGTTGGTATAATGGACATCCTCGTGATAAAGATTTAAAAGTAAAAATATATTTTTATAACTATATACACTTTCAAAATATTGATATTTTACTTAAATAGAATTGAAATTATTTACAGGTTGATCTTTCTGGACGCACTGGAACTATTATTGGCCAAGGAAATGTTGCATTAGATGTAGCAAGAATACTCATGTCACCAATTGATTTACTTAAGAAAACCGACATAACTGAATTTGCACTACAGGCAATATCCGAGTCAAACATTAAAGAATTATACCTAATTGGAAGACGAGGGCCCCTACAAGTTGCATTTACAATTAAAGAGTTACGGGAACAATTGAAATTACCTAACTGTCTAACAATTTGGAGAAAGGAAGATTTTGAAGGTGTTGCTGAAGCAGTTGTCAACCTCCAGAGGCCTCGCAAGAGACTAACTGAGCTTATGTTGAAATCATTGGACAACCAAAGTTCACAACCTGGATCATACGAAAACTATTTTCGACCAATATTTTTTAGGAGTCCTCACAAATTTTTAGTTCATAATGGTCAAGTTAGTGGGATTGAGCTTACATGTAATAAATTATTTGGTGACAATATAGAAAATCAGAGGTGTATTGCGACAGAAAATAAAGAAACTATTGATTGCAGTTTAGTTTTTCGAAGTATAGGATACAAAAGTATAAAGGCAGATAATGGTTTATCTTTTGGAACTAGTGGATGTGTTGTCAATGAAAATGGAAGAGTGATAGATAATAAAGGAAGAGAATTTGGACGATTATATGTTGCTGGATGGTTGGGCACTGGACCAGTGGGTGTTATAATACATACAATGGGAAACGCATTCCAAGTGGCAATAAATATTTGTCATGACCTAAAGAATTGTGAATCATCTAAAGATGGTTTTGAAGGTTTAAAAAACATTCTTAAAAATGTTAACAGCCCTGTTATAACTTGGCAGGGATGGGAAAAAATTAATAGGTTTGAAATTGAGCTGGGCAAAAAGTTTGGCAAGCCAAGAGAAAAATTAACTTGTATTAGCAAAATGTTAGAAGTTGCTGCAGAATAAAAACTATAAGTGAAATTGAAGACTAACGAAAAAAAAATCAAACAAGTTAGATCATTTTACATAGTTAAGCTATAGTACTGTAAGAATACATTTTATATGCAAATTTTTATTTTTGTTATAAATAGTTGAATATAAATAATTATATAAAATAAAAATTATGTTTTATCAATATTCTTTAAATCACATCTATCACAACCCTAATAATATTTTTGGTGACTTTTTTATAATCTTTTCATGATAGTGATAACACAATTTTACAGAAGAGTACTTTAATTTAAAGCAAGCACAATTAGACTGATTTTATTTATTTTTATAATATAAATATTCGCACATTCGATTTAGCTATCGAGATTTTGATTACAAACTCACAGTAAAAAGTCCCATTGTCCTTAAACCATAAAAATATTTTTGATATACGGAACTATTAGAAAGAGAATTAAACAACGTAAATCTAAGAAAAGCCGTAAAAATTAAAGAAAAACTAAATGGTTCCAGATAATGAAAAATTACATAGAAAATGGAGGGATAAAAAAGGCGCTAAACGAACTTAATGCCAAAAAGGACATGATACGTAACATGAATAAGAAAGATACTAACTACGGCTAAAAGATCTAAGCTACTAAGCATAGGGACTTCGGGAAACAAAATCGATACACAAGACAAGATGGGATAAGTCGTAAAAGAATATAATATAATACACAAACTGGTAAGAAAGAAATACCTACATAAAATACTAAAAGTAGAAATAAAAACACAAAAATTCAATAAAGCACTCAAATGTCTGATTTAAACGTTGTTACGAAAGAAATATTAAAAATCACATTATTTATAGTGGTTGCCTCAAAACTTACAAATACATTTATTAACAGATAAAAAAAACACCTCATAGCCTAGCGGTCTTATTAAGTGGCAGCTAGGTGAGGGGTACCGGGTTCGATTCCCGGTTCGAGGGAAAGTTTTAGTTCAATTTAAATTTGTTCTCGGCCTTTGGTAGGGTTGTGCGGTACCGGGCGAGTGCTTAAAGCTTAAACCGTACATGGAGGACACGGTCAAATTTCTAAAGACAAGCACGAATTATAAAAAAATCATATACTTGACGCTGGCTAAATCTAATGCACAAATCGTGCCAGAGCCATTAAAAAAAAAGGGTGCGTGTACTTATGTACGCGCGTAAGAAGTTATACTTCTTTGGCATTATTAAAAATAGTTTGGCTTTGTTCCACCTCCAGTTTTTGATGTTTCACAGCGATAAGATGACAACTCTTTTTTTGTATTCAATTTAGTGCACTTACACTGATTCATCAATTGTTTTTTGTCTCTTGTCCTTATATTTGCTAGAGAAAAATTACATGTTTTGATTAAACAATGTGGTAATTTTTTTAATCAAAACATTACTCGATAATAATAATACAAACTGATAGTTAACCTCAATTGTAATGAAGCACTTAGGAAGGTTGATGAGCACAGTTTTTTCACAAATATTAATTAGTATTGGTTTAAATATTCAATTTAAATCACTTCTGATTATATATAATTCAAAAAGCATTTCTAAATTTCTTTGAAAAAATAATTAAAACTCCTTTATTTGTTTAAAAGGTAAATGACAAATGTCATTATGGTCATTCAAAATTCTTGGCATACGAACTTCACGCGTATTCTATTTCTTTTTACTTGTAGATTGTCTTATTCCTATCTCGCTCGCGCACGCTATAATCACACTCCTAATTGTGTGTCACGGTGCGCGCGCATCGTAAAATTTCACTCTCATAAATTTTTCATAACGCGCCTAAAGAAGTATAACTTAAAAAAAAAACACTACGAGTACTGCGCAAGTCAGAACAACTAGGAAATCGTATAAAATTTGTTAAACTGAAAACTACGTACTTCTTTCAATACAAAACTGTATTGAAAGAAGTATAACAAGAGGAAAGATAAAATAAAATTATGCGATATTAAAATAAAAACAAAATTTAAAGATGCTTAGAAGAACTAAAGTCATAAAGTGGAGATGTACTGTCTCTGATCTCATGTAAGGAAACAAAAATGGAACAGAATAGTAACGGAGTTGTACCCACCAAGTGGGTCGTGGGAATTGGGAAACAAATAGGGATGTGAAAAAATAATCGACATTGATTAAAATCGATTTTTTTAAAAGTGAAAATCGATTTTTGTACGCGTTTTTGAAGTTATACTTCTTTAGGCGCGTTATGAAAAATTTATGAGAGTGAAATTTTACGATGCGCGCGCACCATGACCAAAATTATCAGTATGGGCGCCGAGATGGGAATAAGACAATCTACAAGTAAAAAGAAATAGAATATGCGTGACGTTAGCAGCTATGCCAAGAATTTTGAATGACCATAATGATATTTGTAGTACCTTTTAAACAAATAAAGGAGTTTTAATTATTTTTTCAAAGAAATTTAGCAATGCTTTTTCACAAAGACCTATTGTTACTTAGTGAAAAGGTTATGAAACATACCTAGGTATTAAATTGAATTAATAATGTAATAAAATAATAAATAATTATTATTTTTAATATTAATTAATAATTGAATAATATACTAAATATTAAATATTGTGAAATTATTAACGCCAAATATTTATTATTAATTATTTAATATTAAAAAAAAATAAAGAAAGCCAAAGAAGTATAACTTCTTACGCGCGTACATAAGTACACGCACCATTTTTTTTTATATTTAAAATAATCGATTATTTTATCATTGAAAATCAATCATAGTCGATTTTTCATCTGCCACCTCCCGACATTATGTCTGGTTTTTTTATAACCCGGACCTCGAACTATTAGGGATATTCGATATACATCGATGTTTACAATGCGATATATTGAATCCGATGCTTTGAAGATGTATTGATATACTCGATGCATTGATGTTTTTTTGTAAAACATCGAAAGGATGATAAAACTAGTTAATTTTACAAAAACTCAAGTTTGAATGGAACACTATAATTTAAAAGTAAAATAAATTTATTCAGCAGCACAAGGTTACATACAATAAAAAGACAACAAAAATACTGCAATAATATGCTACTTAAGAGGCATGCGCTCAGCATCTATCAAATTTCACCTAAATCTATCAAAACGAGATTAAGTTAATTTCGATTTTGATTATTTTTAAACGTTAATTTGTGTTTATAATTTCTATTGTTTATTTTTAATTAATAAATCCATGAAAAATAAAATATTTAAGGTGTTTATTTTGAAATGAATTCAAAAATAGGAAAAATCAACTATATAAAAATAAGTCAGGTTTTCCTTCCTGACGCTATAACTCCAGAACGCACGAACCGATTTCCACGGTTTTGCATTCGTTGGAAAGGTCTCGGGCTCCTTGCTATAAGCAAAGAAAATCAGGAAAAATTTCAAGAGAAAAGCGGGATCACCAAACGAAATGTTACATAAAACGAAGCCATCTGGTGGCGAAACGGAGTTCGCCGAGTTTGCTAGTCGATTAATAAAAAATCGATTCTTTATGCAGAGTGTCATATCCCTAGAAACGAAAAAGAAGGAGGCAGATAAAATATATTGTGAAGACGATATAAAAAACTTATCTGGTCCATGTTGGCTGAAGCATCGCTAGATAGGACCGGATAGGGACTAAATATTATAGCACATAGCATGAAAGGTTAACTGCATTAAAGGCTTTTTATTTTATTTTTATTTCTATGAAACATAAAATATTATAATTTAAAGTTTGACTGAAAAATTAATATTTTTAACAAATAGATATCTGTGGTGAGAAATACGATGTTTTGAAGTAGAAAATTCTATATTGTTGATCCATAAAATTATGTTAAGAGTCAGTACTAATAATTATATAGCTATATGATGTTAAGTAAATATAAATTAGATTATTAAAAAAGGATGGAATGTTAATGGAATAATTAAAAAGAAAAATTTAGTATGGCAACATTTTATGGTATACCAACACAAAAATAAAGAGCGGAATTTTTACTTTTTGGTACTTCCTTTTCTCTCGTGTTCTTTTGACAACACGAGGTTATAATTTGTAAATTGCAAAAAAGTACGTAACTTTATTAGATTTTCTCAAATTTTAAGTGTGTTTTTATCTTATAAAGTGATACAACTAATTGAGTGTTATAATTTTAGGCATTTACAATGGCGGAAGAAACTTGGACCGAAGACAACATGGAGACAGGCGGCGTGGCCATCGATAACATGCCGTTGCCCCAAGCCGCTGATATCCCTGAAATCAAACTATTCGGAAGATGGAGTTGTTATGATGTCCAGGTTTCCGATATGTCACTTCAGGACTATATCTCTGTTAAAGAAAAGTACGCTAAGTACTTGCCCCATTCTGCTGGCAGGTATGCCCACAAACGATTCCGTAAAGCTCAGTGTCCAATTGTTGAGCGCCTTACCAACTCTCTGATGATGCACGGACGCAACAACGGCAAGAAGTTAATGGCTGTGCGAATTGTCAAACACGCATTTGAAATTATCCACCTTCTAACTGGTGAGAACCCACTACAAGTTCTTGTTACTGCCATCATTAATTCTGGTCCTCGGGAAGATTCAACTAGAATTGGTCGTGCTGGTACAGTGCGTCGTCAAGCCGTGGATGTGTCTCCCCTCCGTAGGGTGAACCAAGCTATCTGGCTGCTGTGTACTGGTGCTCGTGAGGCTGCCTTCAGAAACATTAAAACAATTGCTGAATGTGTAGCGGATGAACTTATCAATGCCGCTAAGGGTTCATCTAATTCATATGCTATCAAAAAGAAGGATGAACTTGAGCGTGTTGCTAAATCCAACCGTTAATTAATTCTAAGAACAGGACTTAATAAACATAAAATGCTAATATTGTGTTTTATTTCATTCACATTCATATTATAAAGAATGAAAAATTTTAACATGTCTAGCAATTCAAAATACTAAAAATTTGTTATTTTATGTATTTAGGGAATTGTGCTAATTTTCATGTAGTAAACATAATGAAATGTATACCTACGCCACAACCCAGAAAGATGTAGATTAAGGAAAAAAAATTTTTTTAATCCATTTATTCAAATATCAGTTTAACAGGCAATACAAAGAAAATTATCCATCTTGCTTATATATACTTATTAACTTTTAATAAACAATTTAGTTGTTTGTGCTTTTTTTACAGTACAAATTTATTAGGCAATTGGCAAATGAAACATACTGTATTTATCTCAGGGTTTTTTCACTAGCATTAGTTTTCTAAAATCTTCATTCTGGATGGTAGTGGAAGTAAAAAAGTATGCTTTCTAAAAAAAAGTTCAGTCCTTGTTTGTTCTAATATATTATTGATATGGTTTTATATAATTATTTCTCTTGTTACATTAACATTCATTTAATTGTCAATTATACTAAATAGTATTATAAAGCTAGCTTAATTGTGTATTAATTTAAAAAAAAACAACTACAAGAAAGTATGCCATACATAATAAATATAGTTGGCACACATTTACCAAATATTATTGTCTTATTTGAATTTTAGTATGTACTTACTTTTATTCCCAAATATAACTCATTATTATTTTTGTAATGTACCTTACACTATATATTGCTGCAGTGGAAAGAAATGTTTTAACTATATTATGTACCTATGTTTAAAATAAATAAATAAGTAGAATTCTATTTATTTAGGTATACAATACAATAAGTGCTTTTTAATATGTAGATGTTACACATATTGTATAAAAAGTAGATAAATTACCTTAAAAAAATATTATATATATGTAGTTATCTATTGTCTTATTAAAGTTTAAGTCTTATCTATTTAGTTACTATAGTTATTTTATTTTTTCGTTTTATTATTATTATTTACAAAATCGAAAGGGGTTAGGGTGTAAAATAATTGTAAATGTTATATAAGGAACAAGTGTATAGGACTAATACATTTTAAAATTATTCATACATATATCAATTGACACCTTCCTAAAGCTAGAAAGAAATTTTTGAATTTTGGTGTTTCTACCCCTATACTTCGATCAACTTTCAAATACTCTGTGAGGTTTATTGATAACTTAATATAATACAGAATTTTATGCTTTCGTCCTGGTGATAATAAATCTGTATCGATACTAATATTATGAGGAAAGATGTACGTTTCTAACTAGTAGATTCAAAAACTGCTGGATCAATTTCAAAATCTCATTCACGCAAGATTTTCCCTGAATTGCTAATAACTAATAGCTAATAAGCTAAGTAACCCATAGTATTTGCATCAGCCGGGACAGGCCGATGGCGATAGTTTTAAATGTAATTAAAAGCGACATCTGTCGTGGTCGGTTAGACTTAGGTAGATGTAAATGCATATTATATTTTATTGGTTTAATTATTACAGTAATCATTGAATCATACAATTCATCCCAATTCCCATCATCAAATTTGGTGGATGGATTGTATAACAGTTGAGAAATCAAAATGTATATAATGAATATATCTTATTATCTGTCAATCAAGAATTGACAATGGCATATTTTATGACATATACACAGCTTCAGCTGTCAGCTTCAATCAGCCGTTCAAACTTCAATGTATATGTAAATTAAATGCAAATTGCAAATGTAATTATTTAGTTTGCCTGTTGCCACTTGCCAACTTACAAAGTTATTTATTCTGAAAAAATATATAAAAAATAGTGTTTTAATAAAACTTATAAAACATGATTCATAGTTTATTCATAATAAACCCATCTGGGTGAGTTTTAAATTTCATATTGAGAATACTTTATTCAGTTTGTGGCTTACAGTGTGTGTCTTAATGTTAATGTGTTTCAGAGATGTTTTTCTTGAAAAACACTGGAGGAGCGTTATACCTAGATCTGTTTGTGATTATTATCTGGAAGCGCAGAGAGCCTCACCAAATGTCCGTTCTATTTTAATACACTATTAACATATCAGAAGCTACTTCTATATTGCAGTAACAGTTTTATTTGTCATCCTGATATGGAGTAATTAATATACATCCATGAACTATCCATACCAATAAAATGTTAATTAACATAGCTAACTTTAATGAGTTCTTAATTGGAAATTTTCAGGATGTCCCACCAGTTTTAGCAGCTCCTCACCATTATTTAATATCTATTCAAAGAGGTGGGGTAGCACTTGTAGCTGTAAGTAAGCAAGAGGTTGCACCGCTTTTTGTTATTGAATTCTTACACAGGGTAGTTGATACATTCCAGGTAAGTGATAATATAACAAATTTAACCTTGCAAATCTTAAAGCTTATTTAATACTTCTATATTCTTCAACTGAGACTGTGTTTCACTATCTTTTCACTTTCAGGATTATTTTTCAGATTGTACGGAGACTATTATAAAAGAGAATTATGTTGTTGTGTATGAGGTAATTATTTTTAAATGCTAATAATTTCCAACTAATCACTTTCTCCTAAATAACTTTTGTATTTCAGTTGTTGGATGAAATGTTAGATAATGGATTCCCGCTAGCGACTGAGAGTAATATATTAAAAGAACTCATTAAACCACCAAACATACTACGAACAATTGCTAATACTGTTACTGGAAAATCAAAGTAAGTACTACTTTTTAGAGTAAGTATTATGTTCATAAACCTTCTAACATGAGAAAAACAGATTTTTAAGTATCTTCAACTAATTAGTAACAACTTATTAGTATTGTTTTCCCAGAAGAAGTAATGTATAAGCCTCTGTGGGATTTATTTTATCATTAGTGATGAAAATAATAGTTGTATGCATGCTTAGTAAGGAAGGGGGTGTCTAGCCTCAATGGGGGTGTCCTTTTGCATGAGATGTTTATACTCAACCCTAATTTTTTATTCTGTATTGAAAATAATCTCTTTAAATTGCAATTCTTTACAACTGATTAGCACTTAAGCTTTTTATATTAATTTTTATGTTCTTGGCTTCATTATAAGACTCCTAATATTTCAGTGTATCTTCAATATTACCATCTGGTCAGCTCTCAAATGTACCATGGCGTAGATCTGGTGTCAAGTATGCTAATAATGAAGCATATTTTGATGTTGTGGAGGAAGTTGATGCTATTATTGATAAAAGTGGAGCTACTGTTTCTGCTGAAATACAAGGATATGTATGTGTACTAAATTATTTTAAAGAAACAGAAATACTTTTATTAAATTATCAAACTCAAATAGTTATTTAGATATAAATATGGTAAAACATTATGTTAACGGCTAGTGTCAATGCTACAATGATAGCCTTTTAAAATTTGAGGTTGGCAAAATTAGAATATCAAATTTATATTTGGTCTATCAAACAAAAAAATCTGTGTTATACAAACAACTGAATGGGAGAACACATAGCAAACTAGACTATTTACACTTGATAAAAATATTCATTTCAGGTTGATTGTTGTATCAAGTTGAGTGGAATGCCAGATCTAACTTTAACATTTGTGAATCCAAGACTATTTGATGATGTATCATTCCATCCTTGTGTTAGATTTAAGAGATGGGAGGTAAGGTATCCTCTCACTTAAATAATTAAAAAAATAAATATTATATAATCCATTGCTGTAAAGCATTTCAAGGTGCTTTAATGACTATAAATTTAAAAGATGTATACTTTGTTTAAAATGTATCACACTCTTGTAAATAATATTTATTCAAAATTATAATTTCAATAATTGTTAATATCTTAGATGATTAAAGTTATTATGTCTAGTAAAATGATCCCTGAAATATACAGAAATGTGTCAGTAGTACATACATTAAATTATTGCTTGTGTGACTAAAAACTTTATTTTTATGTTTTTAGGTTTAAAAAAATATCTTAATATATATGAATTACGTGTCACGTTCTTTGTCCGCTATGGACTCCTTAACTACCGAACCGATATCAATCAAATTTGCACACCGTGTGCAGTTTGATCTAACTTAAAAGATAAAATAGCTTACATCTCAATTTATACCCGCAATATTATTTTATTGCGAAATATTTGTTTATTATTTAATAGTCACAATTCTAACAGATGGCGCTGTGTTGAAAGTACCGACGTTTAACATAAGCTACAATTTCATGGCATAACCACCAATAAAGCATGGTGGTCCCCATGACTGGTGTTCTCCTACCGTTACCCTTGAATAGTTTACTACTATGTAATATGACAAAAACCTTAAGATCAGTACTCACATACGGTATTATTCGATCGAGCTAAACTGTCGAGTAAAACCCATGGCATGGGCTTTCGTCCACACATTGAGCATTGATCTATCGAGTGAGGCGCGCCGTTCGAGCCAAAGGATGTCTGTGCAACAAAGGAGACGGTGGCTGTATTTCGCAAATCTCACAGTGCTTTATAAGAAAATCAAAGAAAATCGGAGGTACTGGGTTAAACATTGGTTAGATCGCCGTTCTGATTACAGCCACGTGAACTTGATTGAAGAGTTACGAGTATGTCCTGAAGATTATAACAATTATATGTGTTAATAAAGTCTTCTATAGCGCTTTTGGAATAAACTCGCAAATCCATTTCTCTTAAAAACCACGTGTTTCAATCACGATAAACAATACCAGACTGACGCTCGCCTCGCGCCACTCGCAGTCACGTACACACGTTCGAGTCAAGATTGTAGGTTCGAAGGAAATTACTTTAATTTAATTCCATCGAGCCGGCTCGGTGCGAGCTGTGAGTTTTGCGGTCCACACGTTGATTTTTACTCGACTTCGAGTAAAACTATCGAGTAATACCGTATGTGAGTACTGACCTTTAGCCTCAGCAACGCTTGGCCGGTCTGCTAGTCGTTATATAAATATATTATTTATGAGTTATGACACTATGGTATTCTGATAAAAAATATTTACCCTTTCTTCTTACTTTTTAGTCTGAAAGAATCCTTTCTTTCATACCACCGGACGGTAACTTTCGATTAATGTCATATCACGTAGGCTCACAAAGTGTGGTGGCTATACCAATATATGTGAGACACAATCTTGTACTAAAATCCAATGGGGATCAGGGGAGACTTGACTTGACGGTTGGACCGAAACAAACAATGGGACGGACGTTAGAAAGTCAGTACATTTGATTTAATCTCATTTCATTTGTTTTATTAGTAAGCCCTTATTTATACTTTAAACTAAATTCAACACATTTGACATTTCATATTAAATAATTTTAGTCTTAATGTATTTTCAGATGTATCACTTGAAATCTGTATGCCGAAATGTGTGTTGAATTGTTCCCTGACCGCCAATCAAGGAAAGTATTCCTATGATCCCGTCAGTAAAATTTTGATATGGGAAATTGGACGTGTGGAACTGCCAAAATTGCCTAATATTAGGGGATCAGTGAGTATAGCAATTATTAACACTTCGTTTATTTTACAATAAATGATTAGGGAGGCGAAGGGCTTCCTTAATTAACAGGCGATTTCTTAGCAATTAATGAGTTATTTATTGTTCCCTTTGTTTTGAACCAATGTACAGCATCTTACTGATTTATAGAAGTTAGTTTTTTTTGCATGCGATCAGTGGTGTTAAAGACTGCAATTAGTATATTCTCCCTGGGTCAGAACCAAAGTAGGTAGAGTTTTAATATGCAATGTGGTGTAACTTAATAAATAGAAAAAATATTGTGGAAGGCACAGAAGATTTATTATAAGAAATATGTCAACTCAATACAGTGTCTTATCTCAATTCTAGGTATCGGTTGCTTCTGGAGCAGACACATCAGGTGCAAATCCAAGTATCAATGTACACTTGACGATACCGGCGTTAGCAGTAAGCGGCTTGCGTGTGAGTCGTCTAGATATGTATGGAGCTAAATATAAGCCATTTAAGGGTGTAAAGTACGTCACTAAAGCGGGAAAATTCCATATTCGTATGTGATGTAAATAGTTCTCTTAGATTTATAAGACTAACATTATATTCAAATTTAATATATTAAAGTAATTAAAATTGTAAACCAGCCGTACTAAAAATATTTTGTATTTTTTAAATGACAGACTGCGTAAGAATGTTTATCAAGATTCTAGATTGAAATTAGTCGAGTCTCAAAAGTGCTGAAAGTTTTTACATTTACAATATAAAAAACCTTTCTGTATAGTACCTATATCATATATTATACTATATCGTATATATAATAACGTAGCAAATTAATGCAATTTTTTTTTACTTGAACACTTGACTGAATTTTCGTCAAAATTAAGACATTGCTTTTATACTTTTCTGCTGCCATTTCAATATTATAATAAGATCTGATTAGCTTAAAATAATAATTTTTACATAATTTAAAAAGGTACGTTGTATCTACATTGACTTAATAGCAACTAAACATTTCTGATAAGTAAAACAGTATTGGGTTTAATAAATCTATTTCAAATGTCCAATCGGAAACATGATTGATCAATGATTAAAAAATATGTAAATTAATAATCCCTTCATTAGTGAAGATAACGTCACGCCTAGGAAGAAATACGAAACAGTGTCACTACTTTTAATTTTATGCCAGATTCAAGTACGCAACATATTATATATACATTTAAAAACTCATTAATACCCTTCCGTACAAATAATTAATGTAGTAAACTTTAGAAATTTTGTAAAACACCTAGCTGCCCCCGCCAATTTCGTTTCGCTTTAATATGATTTTTTTACTTAACCTACTTTTTGAGTAGCTACATACCAATATATGAAACATAGAGGCTGTTCGCTTTTCCGGAATAAAAACTAAGTACTAACTAAAACGATTTTTTTTAAATATATTTTTCACTCCATACTTCCAAAAGCCTTCCTCGGAGTTCAAGGAAGAAATAAATAAAATTGGTCCAGCCGTCTTCGAGTTTTGAGCATAGCAACATATTTTGCAATTCATTTTTAATTTTTTATATATTTGCACGATACGAAAACATGACACAATTAAGGTTAAGTTTGTGGCACAGACATATATATATATTATCTTTATATTTTAATATATGTATTTGTTTTTTTCGCGCTAAAGCTAATCTTTTTTTGTTACTTAATTGAATAGGCAATAAGGCTTTTTAAAGTTAAATAATAATAATATTAGTGTAGAATACAGGGTCTTCCATTTTTTGGGCCCGTGCAATTTGTTTATTATTTTATTCAATTAATGTGTAAATGTTATTATAAAACTTATTATAGTTAATTTTAGAAGAATACTTAATAAGGATGGTCATTCTAATGCATTTAAAAATATATATGTAAACTTTGTATTAAGTGGTGGCGAAATATTATTTTATGTTGGAATGATACTGAAGACGTCTTTTCCCCTTAAAATGCGAGTGTTTGTCGCGGTAAAATATGTTCATTTAATATATAGTCTTTATTTGAAGTGGAAAGAAGTAATGACCATCGTTCTTTATCCTTGTTTTAATATATTAGTCATAAATTTAAATTACCGTTAGTTATATAGAAAATACCCTTTTATTGATTTAAGTTGATTGTATAAACATTAAGGCTATATATCTGGTTAATGTATCTTATTTTGAATATATATTTTTTCGTATAATTGTTTTTTTTTTCATTACTCCTTTTACAAACTTTTATAATTCTTTAAAAATATGCGAATTTGCTGTATAGAGTTAAAATCTTTGGCCCGGTATAGTCTTCCTGAATACACCAAGCATATTCAGACTAGTTTTCTTCGCTATATGGTCGAACGTCTTTCGTTTGCCCTATTGACACTATTAGTCAGATAGCTTGCGAGTGCGTAGCTGGCTTTTTTGAAAATGGTGTAAATATCAAAACTCACAATACTGCAATAACATAGGTAATTTGGTAAGTTCCTAACTTTAACGCCTAGTTACCTACATAATGGGTATTGTGACCCGGTTCCATATTTCGTGTAACAAATCAAATCATGCGTGTAATGTATTTGATACGTGCATTATGGTATAGAGATTTGACATGAAGTAATGCGTAGAAATTGTAACAAATTTCGCATTTGACCGAGTTCAAGATAGTGTAAGGAACACAATTTATGGGGTATTCGTAATAATTTAATACTGGAAGCATCATTTAACGGTAAGAGCAGTGTAGGCCTAGTGGGTTGAGCGTGCGACTCTAATACCTGAGGTAGGTTCGAACACCGGCTGTACACTGTACCAATTGACCAATTGACATTTCTGTCTATTTGAGGATTTAGCACTGGCTCGTACGATGAAGGAAATATCGTGAAGAAACCGGAGTGCCTTAGACCCAAAAAAGCGTATCAGACACATAAGGTTGATTACAAATTTTCCTATTAGAACGAGCAAATCATTACGAAACAGATATAGAAAGTTCTGAGGCTCAGATCACAGGCTACTGAATTTAATTTTTTTATTCAAGGGAAATTAAACACCAAATCGCAATTTTTTAATGGCAGTGAGTGCTAACCTCCCCAAAAACAAAGCTTTAGTCGTTTACGTAAAGTTCTTTTGCAGTATTACACGCAAACTTTAGCAAAATTAGGGTCAGTAAAAATACTGTCTTATTTTTACACTATTATTTAGTTAATTAAATGTAAGCAAACACAAAACATAGGCTAGGGTATATTATTTGAAAATTTGTATTTTCTTATGTATGACGTCATTCAAGTCCCATTAATCTTGGTTATACATTGTGTAAAGCAGCGTGAAGTACGAATACGATTTTGTAAGAATCTGAAAATAATAATGGTTTTAAATCTACAGCAATATTATTTTAAAAATTATTATAGTTTTATCTTACCGCAGAATATGTAATGAGTGATATATTGGTGAAACCCATAGCGGTAAACGCAATGGGCTGTTGAGCTCTGAAAGGAATAAAATGTGCTGTATTATTCTAGAAGTCTATTGTTTTGCTCGGAATCAGACTTTAGACCACCAACTTCAACACTTGTGATATCATTAGCTGTAGGGCTAGAATTCTTCAACTGGTAGTCGCTACTTTGTGACTAGTATGTTGTAATAAATATATGGTAATAGCATTGCAGAAAAACAAAGGAATTATAAGGTAAGAAATGTATGCGCCTTTAGTTAGTTATCTCACCTTTGTATTAGAATTGCTAAAATTCGTCTACATCGGGGACTTAGCGTGTACCAATTACTGTTGTAAGCTGCATCTGCTATTTTCGCATTCTGAAAGCATTTAACATTGTGTAACATATATAGTTTTAATTGTATCCGTAATTTTAAAGTACAAACCTCTTGTATTATATCATCTCCATACCAACACATTAAACCAATTTGAATTAGTGATGCGCCTAAAAATAGCTTGTTGCTCAATTCTAACATTGGTTCTATCAACTGTAAAAAAATATTTTTTATATTTCTATTTAAGCTTGAAACAAATGTTATATTTGAAGCTTAACTGCTTAAGACGGGGCCTTGACTTATTTTCAAGGTATAGATATCGTACTAGTTTATAAGCGCAAACGTAAAGTAAACGTCCAGTTGACTGAACACGTTATAACTTTGTAGGTTGTTGAACTACTTGCTTAAAGTCAAAAATTATCTAGGAAACAGCCGCAAGTTCGCTAACCACGGGCACGGCCCACTGTAGTACAAAGGTTTCAAGGTATTTTTGTGCATTTTATTTATACGTACGATTATGGTAAAAAGGACACAGCAGATGTTACAAGAGCTTAAACAAATGTTGATGAGGTTGACAAGAGTAAAGGCACTCTCTAAATCTTTGTAGTATCTGAAAATTCAAAAGGTTACATATACACAACTGAGAAGACGACTTCCTGACATTTCCAGGGTAACGATATAAGTCGGTTTACAAGACAAGTCTAACAACAACTTGCCAATAAAGAAAAACTATTAAATAAGTCCAGTTGTATAGTATTTTCAGCAAATTTATATGGTATGATAAAACATAATAGTCTACGGGTAACTGACATGTGTAGAGGCTCTTTATGTATAATATACTTGATATTGCACACGACATTTGAATTACTGTATTAGATTTAAGTGAAATTTCTGTCTACTTTCAGTTACATCTCAATTTGTATTTTCTTTTCTACTAAGGAGTTGTAGATCCATTTTTCAATCTACTACCAGTATCTATATGTTATATTTTGATTTCATCAGGTAAATGAAGATTAAACTAAAATATTTTAGTGTAATGTGCTTCCTTACCTGTGAATTTTAATACCCCTAATACTCACTGAATAAGCTTCTGGTGTAATTGTATACATCCAACTACTTCACGGTAATTTTCTTGGTCGGTGCTATTACTGTTGCCTAGACTTAATAGATGTTGTTGTAAAATTTTCAATAGTAGAATGATGTGGTTAGACATTCCAGTAAACAAAAGGTCGGTACTTATCATAACCCATACGCAGGATTGTCCTGTAATATGTCCATAATAAAAAGGTTCATAATATTCTAGGCTTGAAAACGATAAATAAAAGACGGTAATTTTTAAAAAATATTTTCCTACCTTAATTATTACCTGTTTATGATATTTTAAGTATTTGTATGATCATTATGTTTTATTGTATGTGTGGTTCAAATAAAAAAAATACTGATTTCCTGAACCAATGCTGTGCTGGTAAATTAGCGTTTAATCGTGACCATACACTGAAGTTGGCATTTCTAAAGAAATTTGGATAAATGTGTTTTAATTTGAAACATTACACATACTACTTACCTGAGAAAATTTCGAATAGGTATATCGAAACATGTTTCCATTTCTGTTTATAAATATTGAAGGGATACCATGATTTCCAAACTGTTTTGATCTCATAAACTTGTCCCCGGATATGATAGAATAAGTATAAACATAAAGGGGTAATGTTATAAAAACTTACACCCGATTCATTCAATCCAAAATACCCTAAAAGTTATATTATTTGTCAATAAACATCGTTTATTTTACTCGGAAAATATACTATTCCTAGCAATTGTCTTATTGTGTTGCTTAAATTCAACCAAATAAATTATTTTTCTTTCTTTCTTTAATTTTAGTTTTTAGCTTTATAATAATTATAGATTTCAGATAGATCATCCCTTTTAATTTATGAATATGTGTTTACGTCTTATTCTTGTACATCAGTGTAGAAGTTTCTAACTTCAGATGACCAATATACACTTATTGGTTGGTAGTTTGTTCACACTACTGGATCGTATTTAAATGTATATAAATAAGATAAACATTAGAACTTTTTTATTTAACTTTAATGCTTACAGCTATGCATAATCCGGAGGGACTTAAGGCTGTTACTCTTCAAAGCCTGAGCTTCCTTCGCAAGTGGTGGCACTGGCCATATTGTCGCCAGGTCATCCAGTAGTTGTGCAAATACTTTTCTTTTAAAACAGAGCACAGCGAACTTTGTTATACCTTATAAAAAGTAAAATACTATGATATTTATATAACATTGTACTTACACAGAAAAAAATACATAAAACATGTATAAACATTGGCTGATGATTATTGATAATTATATTAATGAATGTTTGAATTCCTGTAATTCCCTAAAATCCTAGAAAGAACACAGTTTGCGTGAGTTGGAAATATTTATTATTTTATATACTTTTGTCTGATGTTTTGCCACAACTGATTGCTTTGATTTGTGACCATTATAAGCGATAATATTTTAAGCTTGCACCCGTTTTTTGATAGTTTTAAATACGAAATGTATTTTTGATTGTAACTGCAGTGAGGAAATTGTGCACTTGAGTTGGCACACTCTTATGGAGCCATCCATAGATAGCTATACAAAGTAGATACATCAACAGAAATGTATTTGAACCGAGGAATCTAATTATGTAACAAAAAAAGGTATTGAGTTACAGCCACCGTCCTTACTTCTCTATGATACGATAGATACTATTTCGTTGCTAATTTTTAGGCATAATCGCATTAACTTCCTTTCAGCCCTGCCTTGCGATTCTGTAACTCATTTTTCGAACTCACACAGCGGTCTTCACCGCGGCGGTCGCGCTCTATTCAGTCGTTAAGCAGCCATTTTACGATTTGGCATTCTGATAAACAATAAACTACGAGAAGGGAAAGGTTCGAAAAGTGAGTTACAGAATCGCAAGGCTGAACTATTATTGTTTCCTATCGTTAAGCACTCTCTGGAGTCTGAGGAAACAATAATATTAATTATAAATATGTCATGTGCTAACCTAGTTAGCATAACTTCGCGGCCAAAACGGCTACATTAAGCATATCCAAACGGGTCTAAATTTGTATACGTTAAGTTCCAGTTCCTATTTAAATAAGATACAAAAATCCTGTGTTAATTTAATATATTGGTAGATAGTTGGAATTCTTACTCAATAATCCGTATCCAGCCGTGTGTATCAAAGGCACCACATCTTCGACCCGCGGCGAATTTGTTGATGTGACATAAAGGAATGATAATTCAGTAAAAACATGAATAGGGACGTATATAACAGTTACTGTAAATGTTATCTTCTGAATAATAATTTCAGATAAATTCGTCGGTTTGTGTAACGTAAAACCAATAAGTTTCATAAAGAAATTGCAAAGCTTTAACGAATCTTTTATTTCCTTTTTCGCCGTGTCTAAACCCATTTTATATGTTAAAAATATTACTGGTGTAAACCGAATGAATAGGAAGAAAAAATATCGAACCTCTTTTATACTTTCCAAACATATTTGAATAATTGAGGGCAATTTGCTTTCAAGTTTTGCTAAGTTTTACTGAAAAGTCGTGAATTGATTGATATGCAACGCCCCGCTAATTAGGGGATTCCGTTGAAAAAACTGTCCATATTTAAACGAGAGAAAAACTCAAGTTTGAGAGAAATATTTATTTTATAGTAACTGGTCACATTATTCTATGTATAATACGTATTTTGAAAAAGTAGTGTCAAGAAGAATAAGCAGATTGAATTTTTGAAATAGTTCTGGAGGATGGAAGGTGTACTGTTCTTCCAATCTAAAAGATCCCCGACCTGTCTTAAGCCATTGACTAGCCGACCAGAACGCCCCAGTGGCTAAGGTTGAGAAGTAGTAATTGGTATATAATATATATCCTTAGCGGCGGCAATAACTAATAACTTACAAATATAGTCAATTAAATAGATACAATTTCATGTGCAAGGAGTTAGTGGATTAAGTTTTGTGTTAAGTTTGTGCTCAAGTTATTATAAGTAAAAATGGTGTCTTCGAAACTTAACCTTCACTATACATTGTATAAAGTAGAGTGAAATACGAATATGATCTTGTAAGAATCTGTAAATAAGAAAACCTTTTTTAAAATTGCACTGAACTTAGTTGCGGCATCCTACGCTATGTATGAGTCCCTCATGTAAAATACAAACGTGTTTAACAGTCGGGAGCTATAAGCTAGCCGTATGTCTCGACTCTGAATGTTAGGCTTAATACGTATCATATATAAAGAATTTGATTCCATAAGATAAATCGTCATAGTCGTAGAATAGTGACGGATCTGACAAATAGTAAACTTTACAGGGCAGCCCTTTCAACATAATATAATCATGTTAGTTTTTGTGAAAACTATTTTAATTCATACTCTGTCATTATGAAAATTAGCATACAAGCAAACAAAAGGGTTTGTTTTGAAACACAATAAAAATAATAACATTAAATTACACAGTTTTTTTTTAATGCAGCTGTAATATTTAGTCAATGTAGTATCCAAATATGATGAAAAGTGGATTTTGGATATTTTTCAAATCCGACATTGTTCTACGATCATGACGAAATATTTAAAAACAGAACGCTTCACCAATTTAAATTGATGTGTCTGTCCCATAACGGGTATTCACCGTCGTTGGTAAGTCATATGATTAGATCGGCAGTTTTTAGTATCGAGAACATCAAACAGAGTACGGTCACTGTAAAGGGAACCTTATATTAACGATATACTTAATAATTATAAAAATGTCTTACCGCAGAATACGTAACAAGTGAAATATTGGTGAAACCCATTGCAGTAAAAGCTATCGGCTTTTGAGCTCTGAAACACAAATTAACCATTATTCTTGCAATAGTGTTATATTGGCACCAAATAAGTGACAGTAATTTTGAAAAAGTCGATGCAAATGCATATATGCGTTAAGTTAGGGGAAAGAATTGAAACAAGAAGAATTAATTTGGGTAAATACTTGAAGAGGTTTATTTGTAGAGTTTTGCGTAATTCTACGCTTCCGCTTGTGTTCTGTAACACTAGCCAATTCTTCTAGAACTTCAGGTCAGGTAGGTAAGAGCATAACGGTCTTGTTGGGTAATAATTATAACTTGAACTAAAAATATGCTTTCATTTGTTTTTCTTGTCTTACCTCTGTATTAGAAATGCCAACCTCCGTCTTGATGAGAGATTAAGGTTATACCAGTTGCTGTTATAAGCTGCTTCAGCTATATTCGCATTCTGAAATGCATCATATACAGACTTTAAGATAAGGTTAACTGTGAGAACACATATACTTATTACTACTGATGTGACCGTCCTTCAAAATACCGAATTTCTAGCATGGCTTATAGAAGATACATTTACTGAAGAAAAATTATACATACCTCTTGTATTAAATCTTCACCATACCAACAAATTAAACCAATTTGAATGAGGGACGCACCAAAAAACAATTTGTTGCTCAGTCCTAATCTCGGTTCTATTAACTGTAACAAATGTAAAATTATTCCTATTCAGCCTGCGATTTGATTTTTGGGCCATTCTGAATAAGGAATATGCCTTGATAGTATTAAGTTTTCAGAATGCAAATCATAAAATGTCCAGACCGACCGCCAATGCGAAAACCGCTGTGTGAGTGAAAATAGTTACAGAATCACAAGGCAGGAAGGGCCATAATAAGGAATATGCCTTGATAATATTAAGAAAGTTGTCCAGACCGAATTCGCCACGGCATGTTATCTCTATTGAGACTGACCGCAGGAGTTATTAGTGCATAAGTGTATGCGCAGGCACCGGTGTTCCCCATATTTCACAACTCAAAAATATCTCAATAGGGTGGAAGTGTCCTCCACGGACATGACAACACCCCCAACTTACTAATTCTGTGCTAATTAGAAATTTTCTTGTTACTGAACCGCATGGCATTTTACATTTTCAACCCTAGATCTAGAGATAGACGTGATAAATACTATGTGAAAGTTAATTATATACATACCACTATTACAAAAAGAACGCAACAGATGTTAACAGAGCTTAGACAAATGTTAATAAGGTTGACGAGGGAAAAGGCATTTTCTAAATCTTTGCAGTATCTGAAATTAATAAGATTAATTATAAATTTAAATTAAATCTCAAGATTTGAGTTGGCGTCTGGTACTAGTTAAAAAGAAGTCTATTAGTATCGAAATACAGTGAGAAAATGCAGCCAGCATTAAAGGTACCATAGGGACCAAAGTGTTTAAATTTATTTTTATTTTCTAATTATCCATTTTTAATTATAATTATTATTACTATGTAGGTTAAGAATATTGTAAATACTCTTTTGTTAGTTACTTTAATTATATTATATTATTGTAGATTTCTTAGGTTAAAATAATAATAGCCTTGAATGATTAATATTACTTACTTAATCAGCCTTTGATGTAGTTTGATACATTCAACAAGTTTCTTGCCATCCTCTTCACTAGAGCTTTTAGTTCTGCCTAGATTTCTGAGGCGTTGTTGTAGAATTTTTAATAATAAAATAATGTGGTTGACCATTCCAGTAAACAAAAGGTCAGAACCGATCATCGCCCATACGCATGATTGTCCTGAAATATATTTTTAAAGAGTGGGAACGAAACCTCAAACATATTTTGCAATATTGTTTTATCTCGTATTTCTTTGAATTGTATTATTCGATTCTGTATTGTCTTTAGTGTGTTACTATACAATAAATCGTTATATAATAAAGCGTAAGGTATATTATATCTGTGATGGTAAACTAACAGACTATACGGCCGTCAGTTCGTGAAGGTATGGTAATGACCGTTATCCTCGGACATCAGCGAAACTACACTTGTCTTGGATGCACAACCTTATGATTTAAAACTCAAACCTTTAGATATTTGTAGGATGGCTTTTTGAAACACCCAACAGTTACGATGTATTCGTATAATTGTTTTACTCTAGGCTATAGCTATTCGAACGACTAAATACAGCAACATTAACAATGATTGACAGCTCACCAGAGAAAATCTCGAAGATGTAAATTAAGACATGAATCCATTCTTGTTGATATATGTTGAAGGGATACCAAGATCTCCAAACTGTCTTTATGGCATAAGCTTGTCCGCGTATATGGTAGTATATGTATAAACCTATAGGAGTTATAATGTAAAATAGTGTGCCAGATTCATTTAAAGCGAAATACCCTGGAATGAAAAGAAAATTTCTGTAAACTGTATAAGAACTTAGTGAGATGTCATGCCTTGCGATTCTGTAGCTCACTTTTCGAACTCACACAGCGGTTTGGCATTCTGATAAACAATAAACTACAAGCTCCCTGCTTGTCAGAATGCCAAATCATAAAATGACTCCTTCACGACTGATTTGAGCGCGACCGCCGCTGCGAAAACCGCTGTCAGAGTTCGAAAAGTGAGTTACAGAATCGCAAGGCTGTACACTCGTGTATAAGAAAGGCACATTCTGCCTCTATTTTGGTGCTACTATTTTATAGCAGGACATTTAACTTTTTGTGCTTAATGCAATAGGTGTTCTACATGGATCATACATATAACAACTTTCATGCTATTGTCTTTTATTGACATAACTTTTACACATTTAAAGAAAACACTTTTTCACCGGATTGAAGTTATGTATTATAAATTTACAATTATTTTACATAATTTTAAAATTTTCCGACGTTTCGCGTGCTTTACAGCGTGCGTGGTCACGATGACTAAATGTTAAATATATGTTAATTATGTAAAATAATTGTACATTTATAATAATACATAACTTCAATCCGGTAAAAAAGTGTTTTCTTTAAACTTTCATGCTATTTGCTGTTCGTATGATAACACTTATCACTTGTTTCTAATAAAAAAATACTTACAGCTGTGCATAAGACGAAGGGTCCGCAAATTTCTATTCTTTAAACCCTGAGCTTCCTTCTCAAGAGGCGGTACAGGCCATATTGTAGCCAGGTCACTCAATAATTGCGCAAACACTTTTCTTTTAGAACATAGTACAGTGAATTTTAATATACCTTTTGAATAAAATGTTTAAATTAATTTCGAGTGAAGTTATTTATGTACATGACAGTTTCTGATCGTCTCGAGAACATGCTCTGATCTAACATCAATCTAAGAAATCCAGTCGAGTTTTAAATTATATTGAAAAAAGAACATAATTTAGATTTCAAAGTAACGCAAGTATACGAAAAATATTGATCGACCCCATTTTGAGATGATTCGTTATAAGAATTAAAATCAAAAATAATTTCATTAATTTAAAAAAACTTGTTAATGGTACATATGAATAGAAAACCCTCTTACCCAATGTCCCATAACCAACGATGTGAAGTAAAGGAACTACTTGATCAACCTGTGGCGTAGTTATGAATGTAACATAAAGACACGCCAATTCACTAAGAACGTGAATAGTGATGATAACAATGGTGGCAATAAATAACAATTTTTGAACCACAGCATCAGATACAGTTGCTGGTTTATCTAACGTAAAACCAAGAAGTTTTAAAATAGTATTACTAAGCCTAAGTGAATCCTTTATTTCTTGTTTCGCCAGAGTTTCATTTTCCATTTTAAATGATTTTATAGCTTACAAATTCTTCGTTTTAATACAATTGAAAAGGAAAAGCTCTTTTATATTTTACAAAACATTAAAGTTTAGTTTACTAGAAGTTAATAGAAACGTGTTTTATTGATTAAGAGGTAACGCCTCCATAATTAAAACAAGGTGTTCTCGCATATCGGTTATTTTAATACGTTTTTATTTCTATAGAATATTGCGAATTTGCAACAAATGTGCAAATGGAGAGCAAAATACCCTACATTAAATGATATACAGGTTTTCTAATATTAACTTAACAAGTATATCATAGAATAGTTACTAATTTTTGTAATAAAATATTTAATAAAGTTTTAACATAAACCCCAGTGTTTATAAGTATAGATTTTCTCTCTTTTACTCGGAATAAATTTTGATTGCTTATATTTACGCCAATCGATACCACCACTCAAAACGATTCCTTTATGACCCATGGTTTTTATTGTATAATGTATAGAGCAGAGCGAAATAGGAATACGCTCGTGTCATTATCTGAAAAAAAAATCGTGTAACACTTGCATAATGAAAACATTTTTGAAAAATACAATTATATTAAAAAAACTGCTTCCATAGCTTAATGATTAGCGAATGGTTCATATGTGGTAAGGTTTTATTCTAATTTTACGCAGAAAGAGTTATTTTGCATTGCGGTGATTTATGACTTTATTTATTTTTTATTTATTTAAACTTCGTTGAAATAAAAATAAAAGAAACACAAATAACACAATACATAAAAATTAAAAGGGATGCAACGGGCGGCCTTATCGCTAATAAGCGATCTCATCCAGGCAACCCTAGTTAAAGAGAAAAACTAAAAAAATAAACATGATGAGTGCGAGAAGTGCAGAATCAAATGTTATATAAAAAAAATTGAATATAGAATATAGATATATAATAATATTATTCTAAATGTTACAATGCTATGAGTCGTTGCTGGAATTTTAAATGTAATCCCACTACTTACTACTCTGCTATGTTTAAGCTACTTACCGCTGTATACGTCAATAAGGATATATATGTAAAATTCATTGCTGTGAATCCAATAGGTTTTTGTGTTCTGCAAAAGCGGAATATGAAAAGACGTTCGTCGCAAGTCGCAGATATGACTTTGAATAAAGGTTTGTTACCTTTATTACTCGATTAAAATCGATGGTTTGAATCATATTTTTACAAATTTAAAGTAGATAGCCTACCCATCAGTATTTTCACTCATATACGAATGAAGGAGTAATTTTTTATTATAATTGGATATATTCTGAACATAATCTATAAAAACTGAATAATTTCTTTTTATCAACCGTCAAAATCAAATTAAATGCGTTAATAAAAATAAAGCATTAAGTAGACTTACCTTTGTATCATTAAGAGGAGTGCACGCCTACATCGTGGACTCATTTCATACCATTCGCTGTTATATGCCGCGATTGATATATTTGAGTTCTGAAATACAATTATTAATTTATAAAACTTTTTATCCCAACTGACTTATCAAACCTGAAGGTCAGAAGTTGAGGGATGAAGGTAGTAAAAAAATAAGAGGCATCTCAGTAATTTTCGTATAATTTTAAAGTATAGGATTAAGCCTCTCGATGCATACAGGTAAATAGAAAATAATGTATTTAATATATTTAAAGATGAGGGGCCCCATAACATTAAGGCGTCGATGGAGAATAAATTGGTATAGAAAGAAGAACATAAGAAGGTTTAATAATATACAAACCGCATGAATTATATCTTGTCCATACCAACACAGCATACCCACTTGAAGTAAAGCCGACACCAAGAAGAGTTTGTTACTAATCGCCAGGAAGGGGTCCAAAACCTAAAATGTTTTAATTAACACAATTTTTATATGCTATGACTCAAGTATAATGCGTAATACAAGTATAATGCGAGGTTTATAATGAGGTTATCTACTGTGTAAAAGTTTAAATTAGTTTTTTTAAATAAAATACTTACCAATATGGTAAAAACAACGCAGCATATATTGATTGAACTGAGTACAATATTTACTAAATTTATGAAAGAAAAAGCTTCCCCAATGTCAAAACAATATCTAAAAAGTTAGATAATTTTAGTACATTTGCCTAAAGTATAAAAACCTTTTTACTTAATTTAAAGTTATGTATATCACACCATACTACAACACAATCGGGACTGAACTGCTTTGACGGAATTTTATGACAAAAAAATCACAAAAAATCATTTAAAACTCTTAAATCAGCACGATACCTAATTAAGCGTTGGTGAAGTTTTATACAATTAAAAATTTCCTGATGATATTCCTTCTCTGTTTTATTTAAAACCGTTAATGATTTAAGTTGGTCTTGAAGAAAACGTAGCAACAATACAATATGGCTTGCCATTCCCGAAAATAATAAATCCATACTTAATGTTATCCACACACACACTTGACCTGAAATGAAGTTCATCATTATGTGATTATTATGATAATTTATGTGTTTGTTCACGTAAATTATCTGTTTTTTTATACAATATTCGAGTTAATGTAGTTGCTCTTATTTAACCAATCAAACTTACGTTTCATAAAACAAGCTATATATTCATTTGTCAGGGAAATCACAATATATATATAAAAATAAAAAAATAAAAAAGCCTTTTATTTCCAGTATTATATAAGTTTACACTTTTACAATTTATTTTTAGTGTTAGTTCATGTTATTAATCTATATTAGTTAAAAAATATATACATATATATTCCTTTTAAATACTTAATCTACTGGAACCCCAAGTTGGGTGTAGGCCTCCTCCAGTGACGCCCATTTATCTCTGTCCTCGGCCACTTCACTCCAATTTCGACCAGCTATCGCTTTAATGTCGTCTTCCCATCGCGTAATAGGTCTACCTTTTGTTCTTTTGCCTAGTGGGCCTTTCCAGAAAGTTACTTTTTTAGTCCATCTATGGTCAGTTAGCCGGGCAACATGTCCTGCCCACTTCCATTTCAGTTTTTTGCGTAGCTTAAAGCATTTGTTGCTTTTCTGAAAGATTATCTTTTTTCTTGTTTCAGCAGTGAATTTCCACGTTTGGCAACCATATGTCAAACAAGGCAAGAGGCTTGAATTCATGACTTTGGTTTTAATGTCTTGTGGTAGATCACCTTTAAAAATTTCCTTGAGACCCCAAAATTTGTTCCATGTTAATTTTATTCTTTTCTCTATTTCTGTATTTTTATTTTTTGTGAAAACTTATGGTTTTTCCCAGATAGACATAATCTTCAACGTATTCCAATGGTTTGTTATTGATTGTATTGGTGAGAGTGTTGTATTGTCTTAGTTTTTGTAATGTTCATTCTAGGCCTACTTTTCCACTAGCTTGGTTCAGGGTTTCTACCATGCTCTGTAGTTGGGAAGATGACTCGGATAACAGTACTAGGTCATCCGCGAATCTAGGTGACTCAAGTAAGTACCGTCTATGTATAGTTTACTCCAATCTAGCTTGCTAATGATCGACTCAAGAACAGCTATGAATATTGTTGGAGAAGCGGGTCCCCTTGTCTTACTCCTCGTTCTATTGGAAAATAGGGCCTAATGTTTAAGCTTAATTTTACCTTTATTGTTTTTGTATATGGATTTGATGATTTTATATATATTTCCTCTACTCCTGTTCTTTCAAGCTTTCCCAGATGTGTTATGTCTTACTGTATCAAAGGCTTTTGGTAGTCTATGAATGATATATAGAGTGTTTTTGTTTTTTGATACTTTTCCATTATCAACTCAAGGGTAGGAGGGTGATGTTGAAAAGCCCCTTCTGAAGCCTGTTGTCCACTGGTGTTTTTTCAATGTGTCTCTAATCCTTATGTTTATAATTGTGGAGAAAAGTTTATATAGACTCGGCAGCAAGCTGATTGGTGGTAGTTTCCGATATCCTTCGGGTCGCTTTTTGTAAATTAGTATGAGTTGGATTTGGACCATTGGGAAGGTGTTTCCGACTTTGCAAGATCTTGTTAAACAGTTGTAGCGGCAGTGCTAGAGTTGTGTCAATTTTTAGTGTTTCGTTCGTAATATTATTGAAAGGGTTTTATTAGTTTCAGTTTCTTTATTGCTTCAATTATTTCTGTTGGTCTATGAGTTTAACGTTATTTAGGTGTAGATTGTTTCTGTGACAAGATTAATGATTTGTGTCTTGTTTCTGTAAAGATGTCATAAAATTCTGTTGGGTAGATATGAGCGTTAGGTAATTTTGTATCTTTTTTCCTCAGTCCTTCTATCATGATGATAGTTGAGCTCTTAAGGCTTCTTGTACTTCCATTTCTTTGAGATGTTCTTTTATTGTGTCTTTCCTATATCTTTTGTAGTTGCTTTTATATACTTAGACTATTTGAATTGGGACAATTCATTTTTCTGACTTGTGATTTGAGTTTTGTAGTTCCTTCCTTTTTTTAGAGACGAGGAAGATATGTTTTATTTCTTTTGGGGAGTTGTTTCAAGCTAAAAGTGATAGCCTTTTCTATCATGTCGAGAGTATTGTAGTGGTGTTTGAGTAGTTGAGATAGTGTGATATTAGGTTTTGTTGAATTACTTATTTCCTCTTCGCTTTAATTGCTATTTTGGGTTGTAAACTTGGTCTTGATATTTGTGAGGAGTTGATTGACTATTCTATGATCGGAATGTAGTTAGATTGAGGTCTCGATGTTTTGGAATATTCTAGTTGGTTAGACAAGATGAAATATTTGTTTCTGTATTGTCGTTAGGAGATGAGGTCCATCTTTTGCTCTGTCTTTTTTTAAAACATGTGTTTATTATCATAATTTGGTTGGAGGCAAACTTTACTAGTCTTTGTCCTCTTTCGTTTTCTCGCGTATCCATGTTTTTTAGTAACTAAATATTGTCAGCTTTGGGGTTCCAAGGGGTTGAAGTACATTAATATTATGGTTTGGGGCCCAAGGCTTTCTCAATGTAGTGTAAAATTCTTCTATATCAAGGTGTTGCCGCTTGTTGGTGATAAACTTGTATAAGGAATATCTGTAATAGTTAGGTGACTCGTTGTTATGCATTGAAGCTTATTATGTGTTTTTTGAGAGATTATTTATAATGAAGAATATGTTTGAGGGGTTTGCCCTATGTAGCACAGTATAAAATTTTCGTACTCTTCTATTTTATTTCCATGTCTTCTATTTCAGATATTCCGATGATATCGTATTAATATCTCTTATAGCCTCTTCAAACTCGAGCAAACGGTCATACGATGAGAGGGTTCGGAGTTGTATGTTGCGATCATTAATCTGTTATGAAGGTGTTTCCCTGCTCCGTTGGTGTGATATTGGAGGGTTTTGGTCATACTGTGTGTTGTGTTAAGGTTGTATATTGTTGCCATATGTATCCGTTGGATGGAGGGTAGTAGTCGCTGAGCCCCACGGTGACCAGCCGGCTTGGGGTGGTTCACAATATATATATACAATATAATAAATATATAAATATATATATATACGTGGAAAGTATGAAAAAACTGATGTATGTTTCCTAATTATAAAGTAGATATTAGCTTAGCGATAAGAATTACTGAGCAAAGGTTTAGGGTACATAAGTGTATTTTTTATTTAAAAAACGTCACAGATAAAAAATAAAATAATTATTTTCGTCGTCAACCGTATAAAATCACGTTTATAGAGAAGTACTTATAATTAAAAACAAAAACACTGATTAAGACTGAAAGTGGAACGAAAAAGGTTACAAAGATATTTTAATTGCTTTTTTTTTTCAAGAATTTAATAAAAATCACCGAGTATTCGCTTAAAATATTATACTTATTAATGTATATGTTTTATATGTAAAAATTAATTGCTTTTTTGACATACTCTCGGTTATATCTAAAATTCCAAAACGATTTTGTTATATTGGAGATACACTTACCGCTAAGTCTCTTTCGTAAAAATTTTGACGTGATAAAACAACTACTGGTATTTTAATGTTTAAATATATTAACAATATACATACCCATTAGAATTTCAAAAAGGTAAACGAAAAAGTGAGCAACTGGTTGCGTTTTGTCAAAAGGATACCAGGATGACCAAATGGTACCGATTTGAGATTCTTCACCATAGTATCGGCGATAGTAGTGTTTGCATATCGGTGTCAGATTATAACCCCACACCCCGCAGAGGTTAACTGCGAAGTACCCTAAAAAAATTAATCTATAAATATCTTTGATTTTTACTAATATCATGTACTATGTATATGCATATTTTATTACATATATTAGGTCCTTACATATGAAATTGGCGTTTTGTATGGGAGAAAAAGTCGAATATTTTTCAATATAATATATTTAATTAATCAAAGTATGAACCATTGTTTTCTATGCACTTTTGCCATCTCATAGGTAGTTCATTGATCCCTTTACTAAATAAAACCAGTCGGACGGGAATCAATAAAATCTGTGAAGGCGATTTGGACTACCCCATCAGAGTTAAATTTTTTCCCTTGCAAGAAGTTGTCCAAATTTCGAAAAAATGGTAATTTGACAAGGTTGGGGAGTAGGAGGATGTCTTAGACATTCAATTGAAGTCTTCTAATTTGGTAGCCCTCTGTTGGAGTGTGGGGTTAGCGTTGTGGAAGTAGAGTGGGTGGAGCGATTGGCCAGGATAGGTTGTTTAGCCGCTAGCTTTTCCATCATGGTTTGCAATTGCTGACAATAGACATCAGCCGTAATAGTCTGGCCAGATTTGAGAAAACTGCAATGAACAATACCGGCACTAGTCCACCAAACGCTTACAAGTAACTTTTTTGGGGTTAATTTTCGCTTGGGGCAGGATTTAGCTGGCTGGCCAGGATCCAACCATTGCGCTGAGCGCTTTCGATTATCGTAAAGAATCCATTTTTCATCACAGGTAATGATTCGGTTTAAAATACCTTCATTATTGTGCCGGTTCAGTAATGTAACGCAGCAGTCGACGCGCGTTTGCTTCAGTCAATTCGTGAGGTACCCATCTTTCAAGCTTTTTAATCTTCCGAATTTTCTTCAAGTGAATTAAAACAGTTTTATCACTAACACCGCAGCTTGCAGCTAACTCGGACGTGGTTTGCGATGGATCCGCTTCCACAATAGCCTTCAATACTTCATTATCAACTTGGGTCTCAGGCCGTCCACGGGGCTTGTTCTGCAGGTCGAAATTTCCAGAACGAAAACGTTGGAACCAAAAACGAACTATGTTTTCTTTTGCAACATGACCGCCATACACATCATTAACCCTTCGAGTCGTTTCCGCAGCACTAGTGCCACGGCGGAACTCGTACTCGTAAATAATGCGATACTTTAAGTTTTCCATTTTGTAAAATGAGTGACGCAAACAGAAAAAAACAGAAGAAAAAAACAAATGAATGACGGTCATCGAAGCACAAATACATGAGTAAATAGCTGTACAAATTTGAATTTGGAATTCCTTACCAAAGAGGAGAACATCGTGATTAAAGTGGCCAGTACGAAAAACGCCAATTTCATATGTAAGGACCTAATATATAAAACCACACGCAAACTATACTTAAAAAAAAAAATGTGTAATTAATCTTAACTTAAATTCATTAGTACGTTTTTTAAATCTCAAATGCATTTTTATTTTATCGCAAGAAATTCATCTTTTGTCTTGTAAAAATATTGTTCGTTAACGGCAAAATATTGTTTGGGTGAACAGAAGTTATTTTTAAAAACGTTAACAAAATTTGTACTTACAAGCATGAACTCTGCGCAAAGTACTCAAACTTTTGTATTTGATCCTTTGATTTTCAGCCGTTAGTGGAGGCACAGGCCAGATTTCAGCAAGTTCGGTCAGCAATTGTTGAAACACAGTTTTCTTGTACCATAACACACACGCCTTTATAGCACCTTTAATTTGGATTTGGTTAAAGTGCCATCTTTTATCTTTTCATATAGATTCAGTTCATTATGGGTTCGAGAATTTTTTAAACGAAAAATATACTTGCTTATATCGAAAACGAGCCGATCAGTATGTAAAAAAAATCGTTTGAACAAACGAAAGTGGCCGATCGAATACAGACAATGAACATCATGATAGTAAATTGATATAATTAAAAGTTTTAATTTAGTTAAAATATGACGAATATTATAAAGATATATTCAAAAAAACCTACAAAAACCTTTTTTTAACTTACTAAATATAGCATAGCACTGTGTATGCAAGAGTGGCACGACATTCTCAACGGAAAACGGTGTAAGCCCTATATTAACTGCATCTGAACTCGCGTGGAGAATAATAAACGAAACGCTTGTGAAAAATACCGCATTTTTAAAGATTCTTATTAACCTATTCTTAGGAGCTGTAAATGATACACCAAGACAATGTGTAGCGAACAAACTAAACCTGAGCGATTCACGAATTTCCCTTTTGGCAATATCGAGTGGCGTATCCATGGTAAGTGGGTACTGGCGTACTGTCCAAATTTTCGGTTATATACAAAGGGAATATAATAAAATATTTATATTTTGTATTCAACCTATATTTCAAATTAACAGGTGTAAAGTTGACATGTTATTAAAACAAGTGTGTAAATTCCCTTCAAAGTTCTTTAAATTACATGTTGTAAAGATAAAGTAAGTTTTAAATTATAAGGATTGATTTGATGGTATCCGCCCAGCAGTAGAACTAAAGCAAGTAAGTAAAGGTATATATTTCGATTTTTAAAATTAGAATAGTAGGAGCAGTGTTGACATAAGATTCTCAAACCGGAGTTTGTGCATATAAAACTTGGCTGTACATTAATAGATTTTCTATCTACACAGAGATACAACAGACCAGCGATAAGGCACCAGACCCGCTTTACAAAGACGTTGCGTGTGCTTAATACTGTCTGCGATTTAATCGACATTTTTATATATTCGGAGAGCGATTTAGCAAAAGCAACAGAACATTCTGTCGCTTTTGCTTTGTCATATTTAAGAAACAATAATTGCTTAGTTACACTGTGTTGTATTAGTGGTGATAACTTGTAAGATATGTGTACGTAATCTTGGTAATACATAAAAATCACTTGCTTGTGCATTGAAATAGAACATCATGAGGTAAATGTCGTTTTGGCTAAGCTGTCTGAATTTCGTATTCGCACTTCAAATAGGAGAAGCATTTAGTACTTATATACTTAAACTTAACATACTTTTTATAAAAGTTTTAAATTCAGTTGTTGCCCATTAAAACTACGTATCTAACCCTAGGATATTTAACCATAAAGTAAGAAATCGTCTTCAATAAAAAAGGATGCCAATTGTCAATACAAAACTGGCATATTAGCATTCCTATGCTCAGTCGAATAGTTGTAAAAATTTGGGTTAAAGACTTAAATGCGTTAAAGTTATTAAAGTATTTCCCGTTTATGATCACGGTGTTTCGGCAAATTTAGCGCTCGTGGTCCGTGGTAAGCTTTACAGTTGCCACCGTTAGTCGACGATTAAGTCACAGATTAAGTATACTTGCTATCTGCTAAACATGTCATTTGAATTAAAGCGAAGTAAACTTTGTGTTATGAGGTCATTAGATGATATTTATTTTGTGGAAATGCGGTCACATTATATTGCATGTTTTTAAATTACGAATTAACATTAAGATAAGGTGACTGTTATATCAAAGATCGGCTGTGTATAGTTTTATTATTTTGTATTTCTTTATAATACTAAGAATAGTACGTTTCAATTTTAATAACCATATATTGTACTTTATAAGACTTTCAACCATAATTTAAACTGAATTATTTTATTTTAATCTTCATCGAAACGATAAAAGAAAAATGAAAGTATTACCTTTATCATTAAAAATAAATAAATAGAAATGTAGGTCGACTTTCCTCCTTTTTTATAGCGTTGTCAATTTATTCAAACTATTACAATTGATACGCACTTTAAAGGTACTATCATTTACATTTTAATAACATGGTCACGCTACATATTGGTAATGTGTAAATGTGCAAGTCAATGTAAAATAAAATTAATAATCGATCTCTCAAAGTAAAAGTACTTATTATCAGTGTTCACGACCTAGTTAGGCTGGAGAGAACGCAATTCGAATTTCGAACAAAACATCTACAACAAATAAAAGGCGCGAAAATGAAGTGAAACAGTCAAGTCCACAGATTAAATTAAGAAACAAGTTTAAATTAAAAAAATCTTTGATGTTCAGATTTTTGTCACATCTTTACAGAGACAATTTACAATACATAGCATATAAATAACGGGATTTTCTTAATAAAAGTCTACATTTTTCCACAACATTGACTCAAATAAATAAAACATATTATTGTAAACACTCTTTTACTTCCGTAGGAGCTTCTACGAAAAGTAAAAATAAATAATCTCTCACGGGTGTAGGAAACTTCAATTCATATTTCTCTTTTATTATATAAGTTTCAGTATTAACCTCTTAAGAGGAAGCGTAGCCGACCCTAATGGATCAATAACATATGAATGTGAGATGCAATCACACTAATAATATCATATCAATCTCGCCTTAATGGATTTAGTTTGAATTAACACAATAACCTATATTACTCGCAAAAAGATCAGCCACTCATTAAAGAACAATTTATAAGTCTTGGACAAGAAAATTAACACTTACTTAAAGTTAAATCTATCATATCGTTGACCAGCCGTCATTAAAATAACCTTTCACTAGGTTCTTTTACAGAGTACAAGGAGGAAATATAACGCAATAATGACACAAACATATAAAACAATAATATATATTGCATACATTTATTTTATTTCGTTTCCACTTTGGCTTAGGCCCTGGAGGTATAATTTAATGCAACATTACATTTTTATTTCATAAATGAAGCCGTCGGCAAGATAGTGGGTAATTATTTCAAACGCGAGTAATTGAATCTCTAGTAAATAAAAATAAATCGAGTTCTATCGTGCTCAGAGTAATTTGAAGTTTCATCTCTTAAATGAGTGACAACGCGAATTACATGAATCGACATATTAACTTTCACTGCGATAGTAGACTTGGCCTTAAATCCTCTTTGGGAAAGCACAGGAACGTTTATAAATGTACGTGTCATTGTTCTCATGTTTTATTGTTGTTTTTATTGTTCTAAGTAATGCCTTCTATGTTCTATGGATAATTCACGCGTATAGGAGCAGTGACTATTGACACTGAACTTGTGGTATGAATTGGACCATATGATGAAATACAGTTCTATTCTACAAGCAATATACTTATTGGTTACCAGTTCGAAAATCGTTCAATACAGAATCGCTTGATATATACGATAGAACAAAGAGGTAAAAAAAACGTTATCTACCTTGGGACCCAAGCATAAAATATTGAAAACGTTATCTGCAAATTGTCTTATAAAATAATATAATATACTAATTCTACATGTACCTGGATATATAACTGGCAAAATAAGATATGTTTCAAGTTGTTATTTACGAGTGACAGAAACCTTCAATTACAAAATAGGTAGCTCTAATTTAGTCCTACCTAAGCATATCAATTGATTTAATAAAAATATTACCGGTGATGATATTTAAGACAACTTTTTTTACCATTGCAATTACTAATTATTTATGTCGTATTCTTATTGTAAATGTTAAAAAAATCAATTATACAGTGTATTTTATTTTATTAGTAAAAACCTTTACTAATAAAATATTTATTGCGCTTCATTGATGAGCGCTTCAGTATTTTGTCAATTAAGAATGCAACAAAAAAAACAGGGCTCATTTTCAAGATGAAAGCTGACCTATAATAATTTATAAAAAGCTTTTGATAACTTCAACGGAATTATAACTTTCTAATAATGTTTTTGAGTTTTTATAAACTACAAATTTAATATTTGCAGTTTTGTTACTTGTTTTATTGCTGTGAAATAGAGTATGAGCTACAAACCTCACATGAGACATTTATAACTGTTTGAGTATTTTGGCAGTTTTTAGGAGAGAAAAAGTCTCGATGTCAATACTACTAATATAGATTATAGATACCTATTTAGCAATTATTTTATGTTTTTATTAAGCTGTATGATTTTTTTTCTTAATAATGCTTTGGAGTATTGCAATTATATAGTATTAATCTATAAACCAAAAGTTCGTTGACTAGGTTAAGTTGCGTAAACCCCTAGGGAACATAGGGACTCTTTCTGTGTCTGTTTATTAATATTTCTTGAAGGCATTAATTTATCAGCATTCTACGCCTACCTAAAACTAGAAATGTTTCTTGGAGAAAATCGTTGGATTATATTCCCTGTGTATTATGCCAAGGAACCTGTGAAAAATTTACATCATTATTTTATTTATTTTTGAACCATTCAGAAACGAGACCTAGCGCGAACTATGACTCCCACCGACATACGGTTGACGCAATAAGCGCTAAGTCTCGAATTAAGTTTCTATGCCTTATTTCGTGGAGTGGACTCAGAAGAACCCAAAATAACCTGCAATCTAATATAATAATGTCACTATAATATGAGTTACAGATCCATATAACATGTTTTACTCATTCTACAAAGGAGACACATTTGAGCGCTTATATTATAGATGTTTAGAGAAGATTTTTTAAGCTTGCCAGGACCCTGGACTTTCGGATATTTTCCCATTTGCGTTAACTTCTAAACCACGGAGACTAAAGGTCAGATTCTGTTTAAGCTGTTGAATCAATATGGGCTAAACATTATCTTTTGCGAATTGCTTTTTACTACATTACCACAGCCAAAGTTGCACGAATTAGAAGATTATTTCGTTGTTCGTTCGCTATGAAAAGGGTTGGAAAAGCGTTGCGTCTGCGCATTAGGGACGTTATTTCCGTGGCTCAAGCGCCGTCCGCAAGCATAGGAGTCCGTTATTCGGCGTCAGGTTACGGTCACGTCTATATAAGACAGTGGCGTCTTCTTCACCATTTCATTCCGTTTGGAGACGCTTTGGCGTGCCCCGTGTCTGCGCGCCCGTCTTTTAGTGCCGATTTAAGTACCTGTTTTCGGTTCGGGTCTAGTGCTTAGGTATCCTGGAACACTGTTTAGTGACGTCAAATTTGACACTCCGCGATCTATTTTTTGGTGCTGCGTTTACAGGTATGTAAAATTTATAATTATACAATAAAGAAATAGATATCAATTACGAGGTAATAAAGTAATTTTACCTAAATCTAATAAATCTAACAATAGTAATCTAGTAAATCTTAAAGTAATAAGATTATGAAAATTAAATGATATGATATTTTCTACAACTAAATAGAATAAGTTCATTGCATATCTATAATTTAATGTATTATTAACAATAATTAGTCACGTTTCCTATACATCTCCAATTCTAGAAGTTGATCAAGGAAAAGTAATGAAAACTAGTTACAACATACGTAACCCATAGGAAGCAATAGTGATTAGTCTACTTTTTGCTTAACAAGGCTCTGTCGCAAAAACTTTATT